CTTTTCTTCTGACCACTGCCTGCCTAATTTCATATTCTCGAGTTCCATTGCCAAACAACGAGGATGACTACTCCAAAAACATACGGTGAGTTCCAGCTATAAGTTTTTCTGCAATCATAAGTTCATTTTAGATGGTTCGTTCAATGACAACCATACAATTATCTGGATTCATTCGATTGTTCTGATCCGAGCGAGTGTCGAAAACCTCAACAGCATCAAGCACCCTGGAATTAATTGCCATACTGCATGTTTTATTCTGGATGCTTTTGGATCAATACTACTCACGAATAGCGTTATGTATGTCGTCCACTGAATAATCTAATTTTCAAAAATAACCCAGGCGAGTTCAACTATTTTACTTAACATGTATATGTTTTCCGGTTCCTTTTGCTATATATTTGTAAGTGTCCCTAGGCTAAATGCAGTAACTCCTTATGGAATGTTTATAACGCATCATATTCCTGCTTGAAGTTTCACAAGCAGTCTAAACTTTGAAATTATTTTCTGGTCATGTTCATAATTTTTAAATCGTCATATACGTCAACAACCTGCATGTTAACCTGGTCCATACATACGTTACACTATATCTCCATGTCTTATAAATTTAGAAATCATCTGGATCGCCTTTAACATTTATCAATAAACCCATCATAGTCGTTGTTGCTAATCGTATTTGGGTTTATGGATTGGTGTATCATATTAGCAGCCTAAAATGCGAACATAGTTTAGATAATAAGATTAAAAATTTAGGTACTATCAACTGCACTAGTAAAATAACTAAATCCCTAGGTGGCTGTTGGCTAAACAAACGTTTAAAATCAAAACTCTGTAGCCTACTAGAATTAACACTAAACGAATATTTCTGAATTGAAATTTATAATTAAATTAGGCGTCTTGGATTCTTTTACGTTACAAATTTCTGATAATTTCGAATCACCTAAAGCAACAATACCTATTTTTCCACTGACTAATCCTCATTCAACACTATAACTAGTTAAACATAATAGTTTCAGGATATCGTCATAAAGCATTGTCATGACAATCACGTAATATGATTGATAAAATTAATGAAACTATTAACAAAATCGATCAGCAAATTGACTTATAATTATCACTAGGGTTGTTTTTCTTTTATCTTCATTCACTACAGATGATTACAGTATGTTTCTCTATCAGTTGCTCATTCAGTAAATATCTCAAAACCTTGTCAGTCTAATTAGAGGTTTAGCGACACAATAATGCATGCAAATAATCAATATAAGCAGTCGAGCAAATCTCCTGCAAACTGAAAACATCAATGTCGAATTTACCCCAACACTGACTAAGGTTCAAGCCATTATCATAGACGTGAGTTGGGAGTGTACTCCCATTGGTTACAACTTGTGTTCCTCCTGATAATCACATGAGCATCACTCACTGTTAATCATCTTGTAAAAGCTTATTTAGCCGAATACATCCTGCGGCACCACATCACTTCGTAATATGACACAGGCCTAACTGATTTTAATAACCTATAACCACTATATCTCAATTAAATCGTGTTCCCCATTATAATAATCTGCATACTTGCAACTAACTTGTATGCCCAAGCAGCCGGCAAGTATAAATACAAATAAATAGTCTGCCACAGATCAGAACATTGAGTCTAGAGTATGTCTCTTACGAATACACTCATTTTTAACGATTTGCTTCTAGCTATCTGTCCAAAATTCACATAATTATCACTCACGTATTTAAATATTGTTTTGATAACCATTCATGTGTATTAGTAGTATTACTAAATTCTATCACGGTCAAATAAAAATGAGGTTGAGAAAATCTCCCCGTAACTAAATAAACCGTATCAAACTAACTGGAACACTAGTTGGAATTCTTTTCCATGGTAATACTTTTGTTCTCCCAGTTAGCCTACTAATACAGATGCAATTGGAAATCACTTATGGACGGGTTACCAGCATAATTGTTAATTGGTTTCATAATTTAAACCAAAACTAATACCAATATTAACATTTCTACAATATTCATTACTTTAATATTTCTAAACACAAAATACTTACTACCTATACGTCAAGTTATTAACCAACGGCTATTAACACGCATTGTTTTATTATTATTACTGTAATCCCATTTTTTTATAGCTCAAATAATCTTCACCCAAATTGTCATTTTAAGTGTGTTAAGCATGAAGGCAGATTTAAAAAAAAATTATTACATGTATTTCCCGACCAGATGCTGCCGCCTTCTTTTTGATTTATCTTTCAGCTTATCATTACCCGGGGGATTCTTCCTAGTCTTGGTAACCTTCGGCGCACGACGATCCCATCCAATTTGGTATCGAACCAACATCACGTTGATTCTGGTGGGAGAGTAGTGTAGTGGCATTGGACAATAGCCACACAATCCACAAAGCTGTGAACACGAGACTACTCAGAAAATAGATATTCAATATCTAACGCGGAGAAATACCTAACAATGGAGAAGGCGCGGAGAATGAATTGAATGGACTGGAGTTGATCGAGTGGCATGGCTCGGCCATGCAGGCGTGGTCTCTATTCATATTAAATATATTGTTCTTTCTCTAACCCAACCTCGTTCTTCATCATGTATTGGTAATTGATACGATACAGTGAGTTGGCGTAGTCGATGGTGTGACTTCCACGTAAGATCTTATAGATTAGGCAGTTATATCATGACGAATCTACAAATTTAGGATTAGGTCTATTATTAGAGCAGTACTAATGTCCATATTAGACCATAATTCTACAGCTTTCGTTGTAGCAGCAACCACAGTCATGCCGTAAACACTGTGGGATTCCGCGTGATGATCGACGAATTGAGAAGCAAGTTTGATTTTGCTGCCAGAAACAGATCAAATTTCGTGATTGGTTTTCTAAGGAGTTGTCTACTGGCCGTAATGTAAAGAACAGGGGACAAGGGGAACTTTTTTTCTTGAGTCTTTACTTAGGATAAACGTCTATAAAGTCGATCTTTCCTTATTTGACCAATTTAATTCCATTATTATTGAGCTTATTTGAAGTGACATTACATCAATTTGTATATCGACAGTGCGAGTACTGTTCAATGAGTCTCGACCTCGTTTGCTAATACACTTTTTGGCAACATTTAACATTGAAATGGTTTCGGTTGGCAGGTTGTCTGCGTCCGAGCAGCACCGCTGACAAAACAACACGAAATCACTTCTGCTATATCATTTGAAGGCCGCAGGCGTTATATATGTGAAAATTTCGTAGTACCATTCTTTGTACTCGTCTCACTGCATGTCGCTTCCAACGGGGCATCGACAACCTAGGCGTTTACAACTTCTTTTCTTGCACTGTCCAGCCACCAACCAGGTTTTCGAAAGGAAACTAAATACAGTGTCACCCAGAGACAAAAGAAATTGATGAGCAAAAAGTGGAAAACTGTAAATTATTAGAAGCAAAAGTGCTAAAAACACGATAGAACACAATAAGATTTACCTTTAACACTTCAAAGTGTAAAGTAGCTCATCTGTGACATGTTGCAGACTACATTTACAACTCAAGACACTCCTCTCTAGTAGTATCCCGAGTAGAAGAAAAAGGAGTCCTGGTGCTCTACGATTTGAAGTCTTACGCTAACCGTGACAAAAATGCCTTTCGATTAAATCTTGCACTGGTAACATTGAAGCGCATTTTTGGTCAGTTTGACGGAAGAACTTACCACATAATCGTCAACCGTTTTATTTGTCCCCATTTAGAGAACGGAAACATAGTATTTCCTCCTTCACTTCAAAAGGATAAACAAACTCTGGAGCCTATCCAACTGCGAGCCACGAAATCAGTTCGGGGACTAAAAGTCAAACCTTATGAAGAGCGTCTTCAATCACTTAACCTTTACCCATTAGAGTATAGGTATCTTAAAGGTGACCTTCTGATGGCTTATAGTATCCTTAACACCTACTTAAGCTTAGCCCTAATGCAAACCTAAGGAGTAACATTCAGAAATTGGGGATAAAACATGGCAGAACAGGCTGTAGACACAACTTCTACTCCTTAAGAGTTATCGAGTGCTAAAATTCGCTGCCAACTGAACTATTCCAAGCTACTTCCCGAGAGCCCTTTATGAGGAAACTTGACCTATTCTTAAGAACTCAGGATAAAATCTTATTACGAGTTACCGATTTCTTCTTTTTCTAATCTGTTATAATTATTATCCCTAGGTTTCTGCCTGGAGATATTGGTGATCCAATGCTATTATACACGGAAGCTTGTTAAGCGAAATCTTCTATTCCGTCTACAACCATTTGAAACACTTGAACAAAATGCTCCAGAGTATCGACGATAAACCTCTAAGGAAGCAAAAAAAGGTACTCCTAGAAAATACGTTAACTGAAATTAATTCAATTTAAGTGAAAAAAGTAGTATTGATACGTAATAAACGATCAAAATAATAAAATTTACTCAGCGAGGAAAAATCACACTTCTGGACATCCTCTTAAACACCTACTTAAGCTTAGTTCGAACAATAACCTAAGGGGTAACACCCAGAAACTGGAAACACAACATAGCAAGACGGAATGTAGACACAACTTCTACTCCTTAAGAGTTGTCAAAAGCTGGAACTCGCTGCCGGCCGAGCTAGTCCAAGCGACTTCTCAGGAGTCCTTCAAGAGGCAACTTGACCTATTCTTAAGGACCAAGGACAGCATCGCACTATGATTTACCAATTTCTTTTCCTCTTTTATTGTTAACATACCTAGGTTCCTGCCTGGAGGATTTGGTGATCCCCTGCTACTAGACACGGAAGCCTGTTAAGCGAAAGCTTCTTCTATTCCGTCCACAACCATTTGAACCATTTGAACAACTATTCTTTTTAAATAGCGCTGCTCAAAATATAACTAAATCCTTGCCCTGAGGCTTCAGAGATTGATTGCTACTAGATACCTCAGTGCCTTAAGTGGAAGCCTCTTCCATTTCATCCACAACAACATGAACCATTTGATTCTGAAAGTGTGACCTAGAGGGACAAGGTCACGGTCTAGTAACACCGATGCTCAGTCGCCTTAGTTGAATGTCTGACCCAGCACTTTGGACACCTCCGGACTCACCGGAGTTTAAGGGGACAGGTGCTATATTTTCTGAAGATTTAGATGCAGACCTGTTGGCCGAAATCGATTGTAAGTATGAATTTGTACATCCGAGCATTTCAGATGATGTGCAACAACCAGTACCGTTTTTAGGGTTATGTTGTGAAACAGTAGATCCAATCAAGTTTTTGTCGTATGTTTTGAAGTTTCGGTTTTATCGTTGCCAGACGTTTTGAAACGAAAACAACCGTTGTTCAGTGGGCTGATCCTCAAGAGATTTTATGCTTACTGAGGTTTGACAATCAAAAATAAAAGTTGATATTGAATGCAGAAACAAATTAGTCTTGCTCAAGAAATCCACTTCCGAATTCCAGCGTGGTTCTTCAGGTGATATTTTTTCTACCTTACTCTTTTCTAGTCCTTAGGAACGATGTTTCATTCCTTCTTTTCGCACTATATTCCTCCGTAACGTAAGATTTTTTTATCGTTTATAGCTTTCCAGGGAATCGGAGTTTGAAAAGCGTACAGTTGTACGATTAGTTGGCTGTATCCGTTCAATTTTGGGTTTCCTGGGACCATTTGCGAGTTTGGTGAAAGAAGAAGTATTTTTTTGTTGTTGTTTACCGTCCAAATAGGCAAACAAAAATCTTATTCATGCTCACTTGGAAATATGGTTGACAGTGCTGAAAATCTTCAATTTTCTTTGCAATAAAGCAGGTTATTGTATTTATCTAATCCAACGATTCGTAGAATATGTGGTACTCGTAAATGAGACGCTTGGATTAAAACCACAGAGTTCTTTAAACGCGTGTGGTTACTTTCTGGATATTGTGTTGGAAAATTTAATACTTTATTCAGGATTGGTAAATGCCCAGTAAAATATTAACAGTGCTTAGACTAACATTCGAAGGTGCTCGTGTGATGCACTCTTGTGGGTCGTCATAATCCATTTCGTAGAAAAGGCATGTTTGCTTTCGGTTTCATACTGGATTTTAGTTTCGTATTTTGTGTTTGCGTCTAAATTGAGTGTAGTGCACTCATTTTTATCACACTACGTTTATGAAATGTCTTTGACAATGCCGCCAACTTTATACATCTCACATTTGCTAAAATCTTCACTTTTTGTGCTTACATTGATTTTTTTCCGAAACTGTGAAAGCCTCCAGCGTATAAATGCTCGGTTAAACTATAGGAAGAAACTAGTTTGATTTCACGTCACTTAATATTGCTAACGTGACTCACCAACGATACCTTCACTAGTATTTGGATATTCAACTTCAAGTTTCTGCAATTTCGTAGGGTTGGTGGTACCGTGAAAAGACAACGGAAATTAGTTTACTGATGGTTCGTAATTGTATGTGTATTATTTGATTATGTATACACTACATATTGTCTCGATACGTCATTATTACTTGAAACTCAGTCTGCTTTAAAGGAACAAACGTTTAAGTTACATCCCAGTCATTCATAAATTTGATTTCTGTTACCCAGCCTGAGTAAAGCACAAAGTCATGTTGGCAAATACACCTGAGAGACACATTTATTTCAACAGTCACTTTAAACTATTCAGCCTGGTAGATCCAAATGCCAACTTTTACGGTTGTATAGTTTGCAAGGTATGTGGAAATGGTCGATATTCTGTCAGTGTACTGCGATAGATACTATATATCAATTTTCGCAGTCAGTCAGGAGGAGGAGGAACCTGAAAAGGAAATTGGATTAGCGGTGGTCTTAGTGACCTGAGAGCGTGACCGCAGTGCCCAAGGAACAACTGCTTGGGGTCGGTCACACGACCTTTTTATGGGTAAGTTTTGTGTTAGCTCCGTACTTGTTGAGACCTTACCGCCGGAGACAGATAACCGTGGGATAAGGCGAGATGTACATTTTTAGTGTCGACCTTTTCTACCCCCACCTTTTCTTATGAGAAGGCAGCATCTCTGTCATGCTGGTTGTCTGAAGGAAACACCTTACTGCTGTCACACCTCTGTACAGTCAGCAGTACGACTTCGCCTTCGGACCTTGGGTTTGTTGCTTTTAGTCTCACCGCTCTTCAAACGACCTGTCTGACATGGTAGGACCTTGAGGAACGGTTGTTCCAGCCAGTATAGCTCGGTCGCTTCATCACGATGGGCAAGCCCGACCACCACGTCAGGATAGCAACAACGGTCGGGTCAATTTTCGCAAGTCTAAGTTAGTGTTATATCTATTATTTTCAATGTAAAAAACCCTCAACAATCAATTTTTTCAACACTTGTCAACCGATTACCCCTCACAATCTAGTCTGAGTTGTGAAATTTTCTAGTTCGTTAATTTATTCGACATGGGGGTAGATCAGTCGCTACTACTCAGATAAACAGTCCTTCATGGTATCCTATTTGGCTTGAATCTACGGTAGTCTGTAGTCCTAAAGTGTTATGAGACATTGATTAAAGGATTGTAGTGCTAACATCAAGTCAGTGGGAGTGAAAGCCGATTGTAAAATAGACTAGTGCTCAAGAACTTCACATAAGATCATTTTTGAATCCATGATCTTTCAATTAATCATCTGCAAAGTAGCGGTTGCGAGTTTTTTATTTTGGGTTTCTTCCAAGTACTGTTCACTTAAGAATAAATCACTTAGTGACTGAGATCGATGTTAGGCCTACGGTGCGTAACAATGATAACTTCGTTAGTGGCGTTGTAAACACCAACCAAGGGGTTTAAGACACTTGACGCACCAAAGTCGGTAACACCCACTGTAACGTGATATGCTGAATAGAGTAGGAATATGTTTGAGAAGTCCTAAAACATTTAGACTAATAGTTTCAGCTGATAGTTACTGAATGTTGGTAAAATTTGTAGAGACTGTAGTCTTGGTATGTTATCAGAGATAGCATGGCACAAACATCAGTCGCAGTAGCGGGAACGCATTCGGTATTTTCTTCCATTATTATTACGTAAAACACGTTCTCTGATTTCGCGTGTTTCTAAGCTGTCCATTATTATGGCATTATTATTTTCTATTTTCTCCTGGTTGATTTCCATTCACTTTACTGATATGAACTGTTGCAACTGAACTTCCCGTTTTAGCTCATTCGATGACTAATCCCCACCTCTCTCTCGTCATTCTTGTAGGACTTATAAAGCTACCTTCAAATACTGATCGCGTTGTAGGTCTTAATGATGGCAATCTCCTCCAGCTCTAATATCTACTGACGTGGTTGCTGCTCAGTGCTTATCAAATTTGACTTTATTATTAGAAGTGAAACTCCATTTATTTATAGTCACACAAAGATTGTTACAAGGGAGTACCAAATACATATTCGCCATACAACAATAATGAACAGAAATTAATATATGAGTGTTAAATAGTAATAATGGAGGAAGCAGTTTAGTTAAGAAAAATACTAGAAAAAGCCTTTCAGTTAAAGAAGTTGAGTTTTATGAAGAAAGTAAAAGAAAGTTACAGCAAGATTGCCACTAGCTTCTATTCTGAGCCATGTCTGATGTCGTCTCAAGCCACTGTGTTGTATCATCTCTAGGACCTCAGTCAGGGAGTCGTAAAGGACTATCAGAGGCCAGTCATGTACAGCATTCTTTCATAACACGACACCATGTCATACACTAAGCAACTATACGCTTTTTCCAACCGGTCCTATCATAAGCAAATAATGCACGACGTGGAATTCTGTGGGACGTCATTCGTGGTACATGTTCGAGTCACCAAAGTTGATGTTTCACAAAAGTGATGCTAATTGACTTATCGTCGCTGTGCCCGAACACACGATGCTGAACCTCTGCATTGCTAACATGATGTAGCCACTCGATGTCGGCAACCCTTCGGAGAAAACGCTGACCAAACAAAAAGAGTCGTCTAACATCCTCAACTCGGAGAGGCCAGGTTTCACAAGCATAGAGTAAAACCGTTCTTACCGACGCGTTGCAGATCCAACCATTTACGGTCAGACGACTAATACCACGAAAGCACCAAAGATGGCCCAGGTTGGGATAAGTTGCTCTGACTTTTACTATACATGAATTCATCTCATCATTCACACCACAACCAGCACTTACGTAGCTACCCAGATACACGCACTTCTAGACTTCCTTCGTCTTGCTCACGACCCAGAGAGAATGCAGGTTTAGCGTCCTGATAGTCTTGTAAAAGTACTTTGCACCTAAAAGGTGCAGAGCACACGCCAGACGTACGGATATTGGTTGCCAACTAATTGAGTGTGGATTGTATGACTTGAGTATCATCGCGCAGTAAGACAATATCATCCGCATGCTAAGGGTTAAAAAGTCTTTCTCCAGGTTACAAACCAAAACCACCGTTACCTACGTGTATCAGAGCTGTCTCTAAAACTTTATCGATGGCTAAGTTGGAGAGTAATGTTTTGACTGGGCAACCCTGCCCAACCTCACTGCTTGGATGGAACAATTGATAGAGGTGGTGGTATGCCCTCACTGCCTGAGGTGTTTGTATATGGGGCCCTCAAGATGTTAATAAACTTGCCAGGCAGATTCTCCTTTAACAGACAATTCTAGAAACGTGTCCTGTTTAACTGACTGACGGTGGGCCTGATGTCACGACGCGTTGCGCTGCAATAGGCATGACGGCGTCCTAAAGTTTGGCGGAAGGTGGAAATATATGTGATCAATACATCGTTTCTTACACCGAATACTCATTTTGATGGAGCCTTCTAATTTAACAGCACATGACTGAATGTTGATGCAAATCCGATCGATCAGTGCTGTCTCAGCTCTGGCGTTTAGTGAGACAAGAACTAGACGAAGATGCCATACGGTCCCCGTGTAAACGAAAATGAGACAAGCTTTCCGAAGCAACAGATGGAGAGCAACTTTGTAGTACTTCACAGAAGTCCTGAATACGGGTCTTGGATAGACAACAAATACCGATGTTAAGACTTCCTTGAGATATAGCGAACCTTGTCTGTTTTCCGATCAGCATTGGTGTGCGAGCGTTGTAGGCATATTTGAGTGCCGAGACTAGAAGTACTTGTACCTTCCTACCTTTGTTTTCCTTGAAATACATAATCATATGGCCTGGTAATTTTATCGTGAATATATTAAGTTTTTACACGGTTTATTCCTCCAGCCATACATTTGACTTTTCACATCCTTTAGACTCAGAAAAACTGGTTCAAATTTTTCCATGGGAAAATGATCAAATTGAATGCTCAACAAAGGGCAGAATTTCCTGGTATGTTTTATTAGCTTTTACAAATCCATGGTTGACATTTAGCACTTATTAAGTCTGCTGCATGTCTAGTTAATACTCAGTTTAACCTTAGCATAAATCCAGCGCTAAAATAAGCTTGAAATGTTGGTAAATCGTATTACTAATTTCTTATAGTCACGTTAAAAGTATTCGCACTTTTTGAGATTATTCCTCTTTACTGTGATAAATCTGCACCCAACGCCAAACATTCATACGGTTTATGTCCCTGTTTCAAACTTCTGCATACAGTTTACATTACAGATGTATTTAATTAAGTTGCCTATGTAATTGAGGAAGCTTATAACTCAATAAATAGCTCCTTGTAAAACGTTTGTATGATTATTTACAACACTAACTTTTGGAGCTACATTCCATAAAATTTGTAATTTTGGAAGCAGTAATTCTAATTTTTTTGTTTCTGCGTATTTATGTTTTTATTTTTAAAAACCAATAGTAGTGTCCAGAGCGTTCGTGGTTGAGTTCAAAATGGATGAAATATCACCTGAATTTAAGACTTGTCTTTCTCAACTGTATCCATTTATTTCTGTTTAACTTTTGATTTCCATGTTCAGGTTGATGCCTTTTTATCTAAAAGGATCTTAACATTATTTAACGGTTAATATTTTCTTATGTAAGTCCGAGGTTACATTGTGTAATAATTTCATTCCTTTTTTATTTTAATTTTACTAGAATTCAATACTTTAGAGTGTATTCGTCCTAATTTCAAGTCCTACTTTCAATCCTCAAGTTTAGATATTTCCCACCAATCTTCTATGACTGTGTGGTCTTTGTATTGGAATGTACTTGCATACACTACTCCCATACACAGTTTGTATGCAGACCATACAAATCAGTCTAAGGTACTTCATTCAGTTTTATTTTTGCTAACATGCCACTGGTCGATTATTTTAGTTATTTCAAACTCTTTTAGAAAATCATGTACTGTTTCCCGCAATATTGTGTATTCCTCTCTTTTGACTTACATAAGAAGATAAACGTTGCGTTGTGTTAGTAAATCATACATCTTAAACTAATTTTACAAGCAAACATCTTTCCCAAGTTAACGCTATTTCTTTCCTCTAAATTTCTAGATTCAATTACTCCTGACTCAATGTTTAGAGGTTATAATATAGAAGCTCGGTCAAACCATCTAGCAGAATTCTTCATTACATATTTATTTCACGACGAAATTTACACACAGTACATGCATTTATAATAAGATATTGTTACGTCAAGAGACCTAATATTCAGTTTATAATTTCGGAGCCCCCAAATGCCCTGGTGTGGCCGAGAGCGGTGTGAGCGCGGCCACGCATACACAGCCTCTGCCAGGGAAGTCCTACTCACTGCCTTCTCGTGACGGGGGTGTTGTTTACGAAAATGAGAAGACGAAAAGCGAATGTCCGGCGCTTTAATCGGATCCCGAACCAATGGTGCACATGGGCTGCAGTATCCTATGGGAACAAATGGCGTATGAATCAATCTTTGGTCACCGGCTACCATAGGAATGCATCTCCTCACGATGCTCCAGTGCCTTGTGGGTCAGACCTTTAGGTCAAAGGCTCGGGGTGTGGTCCCCTAAGAAAACTACCTGTTTTTGTCTGGGAACCCGGGCAGTATCACAGCCCACACACACAAATATGATGTGGCGCATATATATTTGGTGCCCTCTTGTACCAATATTTATGTGTTGAAATAGATAAATAATTTATAATTTCGGAGCTCATATCTCTCCAAATTTTGTCAAGAAATGAAACTAAGATATATAATTTACTTACGTTGAGGGTGTTGGACTAGGTGTCATATACAAGCTTGAAGTCTATTATTTACCATGTTTTTTTCGCATCATGTTCCGATATAAAGTTTCTCGGGGCATTAGAAGTTCTACTATTCATATTGGTAGTGTGTGTACTTGTTTTTGTTGTTAAGGATTTCCTATGATGTTCAAAGAGCTTCAAACTCACTATTTATTTGTGATTGAAATATTTTGTATTAATCAAATTAAATAACGATCATTCTAATACCTTTCCATTTTTATGCCAAGGTTGGGTTGGGGTCATTACAGAAGTATTCCGTTGTGGTCTGGTTGATTCGCCAACAGTTCTTAGGAGTACGTTCAGACATTATATTTTTAAAATTTTACTTCGAAATGTAATTCAATGTGACATTTCAACTAAATATTTTACTTTCATATGTGATAAATGGTTGGAAACGTAGTTAAGCTGATTACATTGCGTGCATTAATTCATTCAGAAGTCTAACAATGGTTAGTGTAAACAGGAAGTTGCACGGTTAATTGAAAAGTTTCTCCGAAATTGTAATAATATTGTACGAGTAAGGCGGAATGCAACACCTGTACCAATAAAGTCTGATCCTTAATGGAAATGTCTTGTATAAAAAGGAGTTTTTTGCTGATGATAATGAAAATACTATGTAATTTCAATCAAGAAACTGATGAGAAAATAATTTAGTAGTAGTTAAACCCGAAATACATGAAATAAGAATTTAAACTCACTTAATTAAAATCAAAGCCTTTCAGGAAGTAATAAATTCTAACCGAGATACGAGTTGCTCAATTGTAGAGGACTGAATATTCAAGAAGATGAGAATCGACTTATATTTATTTTTGATTGCGAAATTTGGTTATTAAAGGTTAAAAACCGGACTGCTAGGACTCTTGTATCTTAAGGTTAATATTTAGTTCAAATAGATTTTTCTGTTTACTTTCTTGTGATTGGGTTCAGCGTTATTCAGCTTAATTATCCAGTCAAAATCACTTCGTTTCTCTCAACACATCATACATTTGTTGATTATAGTTTGGTTAGGGACTTGCATTTCGATCCAAAATGCGTGTTTAGTTCTTCTTGTGCCTCTGCAGTTTGCTATACTTACTTCCCACTTTTGATATTCCTACTAGAAATCTGACAGTACCCCATACTTTAAATTCTAAAGGACTTCTTTGCTTTCATTCTAGCTGTCATAGAAATTTCCGGGTCGCTTTTATAGATATGATTGTGGATGGATCATTTTTTCTATAAGAGAAAACTAATTTCTCTTTATTTGAGCTGTGTTAATGCGTAAAACGGTAGCTTACTGGTTAGTGCTTGACCATTAACCACTGGGTTTCTACTGCTCACCTCATCCCCCCTCTGATTAGGGAACAGGATAGTTTGACTAGTCCATAAGCATATATTTCGAGATTGGCGTCACGACAAAAACTTGATTTAATCGAAACCGATTTTATTATCACTTCTAAATAATTACATCTTCATTACATCATAAAGGATCCTGCTCATTGTTCATAATACCAGAGAAATCATGGATATACAGTATAACAAACTTAAAACTGATTTTTCTGTTTATTTTATAGGAGGCTATTCCTAATAATAGCGAAGTTCACGTTTGCCTTACAAGTTTACTTCGTTTATCTAAAACATGTGGGATAAATTTAGAAGTAGTGAGGTCTTTATGGTTGTATTTCAAAAGTTGGCTAGTAAGTTTATTTTTACGACTTTCACGGTTACTTTCTGTCAAGTTTATGTGATAAGTCTGAATGTTAAAACGCATATTTTTTTGTATTATTTTAAACTGAACTTATATAACTTACTGTGTATCTCTTTATTTCACAAAATTTTTATTTAGAGCACTGGATTTGATACTTCAAACAGATCTTCAGGTTTACTTACACCTAGTATGAGGTAAGCATGTGAATTCGCTTCATAGCAAACTCCAGAGTCTTCATATTTATGTCACCATCGTTTTTAATTGGCTGTATAAATAAGGCTGTTTCAATACACTTTTTTCATTACTACTAATTAAATCAAATTGAATTTGGTTTTAGATCAAAATTTCATCATATAATGACTTCTCTGTACTCGACGCCCAATTTATGTCAAATTATTCGTTCAAATATTGATGAATATTCGTATAAATGATCCTCAGTGTCACGATTTGTTCGATATGTGATCAGTATTAACAAAATCCTGCTTGTTGGGTGTCTTGGATTTTTCATTCGTTTCAGCGAAACTGTTGAAAACTATGTCTTGTACTGAGAGTCGTGTGACGCTTCTGTAGTTCCTACACTAAAATCTTTTTTGGTTAATATCTTGACGGCCTCCAAATGCCCTGGTTCTGCCGAGAGTGGGGAGAGTCCGCTCTCCCTCTCGAAATACTCTCACATGGCCACGCGTATATAGCCTCTGCCAGGGAAGTCCTACTCACTGCCTTCTCGTGGCGGGAGTGTTGTTTACGAAATTGAGAAGACGAAAAGCGGATGTCCGTCACTTTAACCGGGTTGGTGGACATAGAAAGTCCACGTCGGTGAGTTGAAAAGCCGTGGTTCCAAACCAATGGTGCACATGGGCTCCAGTATCCTGAAGGAACAAAGGGCGTATGAACCAATCTTTGGTCACCGGCTTCCATGGGAATACATCTCCTTACGTTGCTCCACTACCTTGTGGATCATACCTTCAGGTCGAAGGCTCTGTGTGTGGCCCCCTAAGAAAAACACCTGCTTCGGTTTTGGCACCCGGGTAGTATCCCAGCCTTCACACATATCAAAGAAGTTCTGTGTGGTGCATATATATTTGGTGCCTCCTTGTGCCAATATCTGTGTTAGAATAAATAATAAATAATATGTTGACGAGGTATCCCTGTTTTCCATTCAAATAATACCTGTTATTTCTCTCAAATTTTTCTTGGCTATAATGTGTAACACCTTTGCAATTATCTCTATATCTGAATTTAGTGGTTTAGCTTATATGCTACTAAGTCCTGATGCTTTCCCATTTTTCCAGATTGGTCATTAAACGGTTAACTAGAAGGTAGACCCAAAGATTATTCCATTAGTACACCATTAGTTTTTGTTGTTGACCTTATTTTGTAATTTAAACTGGACAATAAAGATACATTGTAAAAGTAATTCCTTCAAGCAACCTTTAGGAACATCAACACGGAGTCCTTTGTTTTCAATTTAATCACATTAGAATCAAACTACTTTAGTATGAAACACATTTGTAAAGACTGAAGGAGCATCTTAAAGTATCACTCAATTTCCGGTTACATTGAGATCGACTAAACTAATAAATAACAAATGAATATACTGTATTGTACTTATTGAAATGAATTCTGAGTGGCTGTAGAATTTCGGCTAACCACTTAACTGTAGGATCTTCTATTCCATGAAAGTTTCGCTTACGTTTCAATTGGATACTAAGCAAGTGTGCTGTGATCTTTCATGGAACAGTTTGCTTAATAAAAAGCCTAGATATATTATTCATCAATGATAAGTTAAACAGGGCTAGCGACTTCTTTTGAAAACATTTTACCAATGAAATACGTGTTTACACATTCCGATACCCACTGATTCAAATATGATAGATTAACTAATCTAATTTATTTTAAAAAATAAATAACAGCATATTATGTTGACACTTTGTATATATTTGTGATATAATAACTTAGTGTTTAGTTGTTGCTTTTTATTTCTTCTTAACATGAAGTTTCAGATGTTGGTACAATAAGGTAAAACCAGCGGGTGAGGCCAGACAGTAAGTTAATTTTTGATTATATTTGTGAATGTTGTTTTAATACCTAAAATGGAATTTTGATACTGCACTTCATTTCTAGATTTTGAAATCCTTTCCAGATTATTTCCACTAGATCTATTAGAATATTATGAGGATACAGTGAAAGCCTAACAACTAGGTAAAACTATTGAGTATAGTCTATCATTTTCATCACAAGTCTTTAGTGTAGTTATGAAGTATATTTTTTGGTCCAGATTGAGAATTTTCAGGCGATTAATTCTTAAAGAATACAAGAACAAAGATTGGTGCAGAATAATATGAATTCATTTTATTTCGTTAAGTTCTCATCAGCTGCTTACAACCTAAATTATTTGAAGTTCAACATTATTACATATATTGACATATTTATACATAAAAGTGTGATTATGGATCAATACATGTGTATCATGATGTAGCAAAGATTCAGATAGAGTTAATGAGCTCATAAAATGTTTGATTCGAATAAATAAATAAAGTTAGAGAGGGAAAGTTCCAGAACATTGAAATAGTGATTAGAACTCATGAAAATAGATTAATGGTAATTAAGAAAATATGAATTGAAATTGGTCAGTTATGTATGATGTAATTTAAAAGAGTAGGAGTAGTGACGCAATAAATAACTAGAGAAATAAATGAATAAAAGGGGTTATTGTTACCAGGGTAAAGAAAGATTTATTACTGTCTCTTTTTGTATACATAGATCTGGTTTTAGACGTTTGGTTGCTATTGCTTCAGCAAATTTCAAAAGGTTGGAGTTTGATTGTTTGTTAATCACCTTGAAGGACTTCAGTATATCAACTTCATGTCCTGTATCAAGGAGATGTCTTGCGATGACACTGTTGAATGCGTTCAATTCATTTAATCTTAAACTCTTCGGAATATGTTCTTCGAATCGGACGTAGGCTCTACTTTCTGTTCTATCAATGTAACTGCTTTGGCAGATACATGTAAATTTGTATACACAGTTGGTGGTAACATGAAAGGGATACCTGTCGACATTTGATTGTGTCAAAGAACTTTTTGTTTCGGACAGGACAATCAATTTCGCTGTAGGGTAAGTTATTGTCAGTGCAGTTTTTGGTCTCATATTGATCGATCCTGTGACATCGTCACCTTTGAATTGAAGTTGAATAAAAATAGGCTTTTTATTTGTTGTAATTTCTTTGGGTTTTTTATCTTCACGTTTGCCATATTTCTCAATAAATTTCAGTGGGTATTCGTTATTCTTTAAACATATTTTAACATTCAAAGAACATATTCCGAAGAGTTTAAGATTAAATGAATTGAACGCATTCAACAGTGTCATCGCAAGACATCTCCTTGATACAGGACATGAAGTTGATATACTGAAGTCCTTCAAGGTGATTAACAAACAATCAAACTCCAACCTTTTGAAATTTGCTGAAGCAATAGCAATCAAACGTTTAAAACCAGATCTATGTATACAAAAAGAGACAGTAATAAATCTTTCTTTGCCCTGAAAACATTCACCCCACCCCCTTTTATTTTTATTTATTTTTATTACGTCATTCCAACTCTTTCTGAATTTTATAATTACATCATTCATAACTGACCAATTTCAATTCGTATCTCTCTTTATTAACATTAATCTATTTTCAGTCAATTCATTACATAATCGCCTAATGTGTTTTGATTCCATGATTTCTAATCACCATTTCAATTTTCTGGAACTTTCCCTCTCTAACTTTATTTATTTATTCGAATCAAACATTTTATGAACTCATTAACTCTATCTGAATCTATGCTACATCATGATACACATGTATTGATCCGTAATCACACTTTTATGTATAAATATGTCAATATATGTAATAATGTTGAACTTCAAATAATTTAGGTTGTAAGCAGCTGATGAGAACCTAACGAAATAAAATGAATTCATATTATTCTGCATCAATCTTTGTTCTTGCTCTCTTTAAGATAATAAAGGGAACTATGTGTATGAAATTTCTCAAAATGCGATTAATTCTTGTTGGTTTTATCATCTTTACGTTTACGATCTTAAGTGAGAGATATCAATTCAATTTTCCCTTAAGGTTTAAACTTCAGTGTATGTTTTCCTATATTTTCACTTAGAAATTTCGTTATGTTTTGTTCACTTCTCCGGAGATTATCGTCATCAGACACTGAGGAGCTGTGTACAACGTAAGTAGTGAATTTTCATGTTTAATGTCCAATACAAATGTAATCTATATAAGGAGTGATCATCGGATTAATGACCCCAACAAACCGTGACCTGTCGTTATTTCCCTTAGTTTTGTAAACTTACTACTTGTATAAAAAATAAAAATAGTCCAAATACCTTTAAAGTGGCCTTATTTAGCGGATATATGATGTGATATAAATGTTACAAGGTCAAAACTATCCCAAAGTCTTCATTTAAGTTGCACACCTATTGATCATGCTTGTGAATTCTTGAAAAAATTTAATATTTTAATATGTAGATATCTGCAATTTAAGTAAAAAAAGACGGAACATCTTGAATTATTTGGCTGAATACTTCCTGTTGTACCGAACAAATGGTGATGAATAAACTGGTCAATAATAGTAATATTACGAATATGCTCGCTTTGAAAATCCTGCTTTAGTGTTGTAAAATCAATTGTTATTTGTCATTCAGCCAAATGTACAATGTACACTTTAGTTGAATACAAATATTTAGTGATTTACCATATCGCCCGTGACAGCACACAACACCAATTGGTCACATTCAAATCCTTCCTACACCTTCTAACACCACTCTTATCTCCCCGAGTAACTCTTCTCACGTCCTTTTTTCACCCCGCACCGCTAGGGCAAACGACTCAAGTACGCGGAACGTTATTCATCGTCTCCTGAAACCACGCTCTAAACGACATGTAGGAGCTTTTAACGTCCGAACACTGTACCAAATAGGACAACAGGCTTCCTTAGCTAGGACTTTCGGATCTCGCGCCGTCGATATGTGCTGCGTCTCCGAAATGCGCATACAGGATCCGAGTAGCGTCATTCATTTGAAATCACCATGTCTAAACAAAGAACCAACTCGATTCACATTTCGTGTATCTGAAAGCCCAGATGCGGCTTCTCGTGGACTCGCCGGCGTAGGTTTAGCATTGAGTCCTAGGGCAGAAATAGATCTCTTAGACTGGATCCCAGTAGACAGTCGTTTGTGCGCTGTCCGACTAAACGGAATAATAAGGACTCGGAAAAATAGGGACACTCGTCGTTGCCTCTTTGTCGTCTCTGTCTATCCTCCCACTGACTGCAGCGCAGATGATGTAGAAGATGAATTTTACAGAAAGCTCTCCGACCTTCTCCGAAAAGCTAGGCGCTCCCATGTAGTAATAGTGGCTGGTGACTTTAATGCTCAAGTAGGTAAACTGAGCGAAAGGGAAAGACACGTAGGTGGATCTTATGGTGTCGTGGCTCAAAGAACAGATAATGGCGACCGTCTGTTGCAGCTATGTTCAGATAACCACCTCTTTCTTGCAAATACTAAATTTAAGCATAAGGAAAAACATCTTTTGACATGGCGACCCCTAATTCTTCCCAACGTCGGACCCAAATAGATCACATCGCTATCAGTCACCGACGGAGGGGCTCGATAGAAGACTGTCGCTCATTCTGGAGCACATGCTTAGATTCAGTTCATGCTCTAGTGCAAGCGCGTATTTGCCTGCGTCTTACTGGACGTAAGAAAGACGCTGCAAGGAAACCTCTTAGGGCCATACTTAATGATAGTCGAGCTAAGAGTATGTATCAGGAACAACTAGGAAAACAGTTAGGCAGCCTTGTATGTGATGCCTACTCCGAGGCAGAGTGGGATGATATCCGAAAAGATGTGGAAACAGCAGTGATATCTGCTAGTACGGTAAACCGTAAGGTTAGGGAGTAACACTGGATCTCAGCAGCATCTACTGCACTGATAGATGCCCGAAAACTCATTCCATCTGGCTCTGAACATAACGAAGAGCGGAGTCAGATTAGGCGCAAGCTGACAAGAAGCCTACGCAGTGATCGCGAACAGTGGTGGGTAAAGAAAACGAGAGAGAAAGAAAAGGCAGTGGCAATAGGTAACATCAGACAACTGTTCAGACTTGTTAAGGAAATCGGTATTAGGAACACGTATGTTAGCGAAACAATTTCAGAAAAAGCTAGACATATTATACATTCTCAATCCAGGAGACTGGATCGATGGACAGAACACTAGAGATCAGTTCAACTGGCCTTCAGCCACACTTCGGTTTCCCACGATCTCCAGTCAACCTGAATGGCAAGTTAATGAAGGTCCTCCGACTCTTTATGAAGTAGAAAAAGCTATCGCAAATCTGAAGCGAGGGAGAGCAGCAGACCCTGACAGGTTTACTCCTGAGATTTTTAAGGATGGTGGTCCAGTATTAGCAGTGAGATTAACTGAGGTCTTAGGTAGAATTTGGGAACTGGACGCAATCCCATCTGACTGGTCTCAATCACTGATTGTACCAGTCTATAAGAACGGACAAAAGTTCTTTTGTGACAATCACAGAGGAATCAGTTTGACTAATATAGTGTCTAAAATATTAGCTTCAATAATACTTCGACTCCTAACTAAAGCTCGTGAAGAGCAGACTAGAGAAAACCAGGCTAGTTTTCGACCTGGACGTGGTTGTATAGGCCAGATATTCACACTACGTCAGGCTTTAGAACACAGACACACGTTCAAACGCCCCACGATGGTAGTATTTCTCGACCTTAAAGCAGCATTCGACTCTGTTGATCGTGATGTTCTATGGCAGTGTTTGTCACTGAAAGGAGTACCAAAGAAGTACACTAACCTTATAAAGGCTCTCTACTCGAACACAACTGGTCGAGTGAGAGCTTATGGAGAACTGTCATGCGATTTTGCAACTTCAAGTGGTGTCTGGCAAGCTGTTCACCATCTCCATTTCTGTACGATTTCATCGTAGGCCTACTGCTGGGAGTTCGGCAGTTCGTTCTGTTTTAATTTACGGCAGCGAAACATGGCCATCAAGAGTAGAAGACACTCGCAAGCTACTAGTATTTGACCACAGATGCCTTAGAAATATTGTTGGCGTCTGCTGGGATCACCGGGTAAGTAATAGTGAGGTTAAACGCAGGGTATTAGGGAATGATGGTAAATCAGTTGATGAGGCTGTGAATCTTCATCGACTGAGATGGCTGGGACACGTGTTACGTATGCCCAACGACCGACTGCCTCGACATGCGATGTTCAGTGGTATAGGAGTAGGTTGGAAGAAAGCTAGGCGCGGCCAGACCAAAACATGGCACAAGTCCTTGAAGTCACTGACAAGTGGACTGAGCCATGTTGGTAGGTGTAGACTACTTGGTTGGGGACCGCGAGATGATAGCAACCGATGGTTAGAGACCCAGAATGACATGGCTCAAAATCGTTTGCAATTGTGCAGGTGCATCCATTCTTTGTGTTCTCCCAAATTCTAATCTCCTGATTCCTCCTTGTCTCTTTTTTCTCTTCTTAAATTTATTTCACTGGATTATACTCTTTAAATAACATCTCCGAACCCTAATCTTCCCGATTACTGCTTATACTCTTACTACCTCCACCACTACGGGATTTGAATCGACTACTGCATCCCTGTGCTAATTTGTTATGGCAACTCGAACTGATGTACGTACGTACGAAGTTCTACGTTGTTACTGGCTGACTGACTGATTTACCGTATTTATGTTCATAATAGTTAAATATTTTTGGAAAAGAAAATAAATACTGCCAAATAATTTAATCGAAGTACTTGTATTCGACTTTGGTTTTCGGATGTTTAGTCGTTATATTTTTAAAGTTGTCAGTGATGATAACGACTAAATATTTCTTTTATCAAAGATACTAATCATCCAATTAGATATCTTCGAAAATTCAATGAGTATATTTACCCTCTAATGTCTGGTTATGACATTTACTGTAAGGGTTGATTACCCACGGCTTCATTTTCCTAAAGTTCGATTTTTGAAATGGTTCACTTTATTGTAAATTGTAGGAACTTTCGCGCGCTATAGGTCAATAAGTTTGCCCTTTATTACACCGTAGATTTTAAAAATTACAGCATTTTTCATTCTTGAAAATTACAACTAGTACGATAGCTAGTAAATGAAAACCACTTTTCAGTAACTTCCCGACATTTTTCACTTTTTCGTACTCTTCTCGTCTTATTTTCCAAACAGCTTGAAAATCCCACTGTTGTCACTGACTAAGCCAAGTATTTCTTACTACTTTTTCATATGGGCTAATTTAATTGAAGAAGCTTTGGATACATTATCAGTGAGCATAGGCAACATGGATTGTAATAAAATAAGTTTATTGTCCCTGGTAAGTTAGAAATATTTTCGTTAATATGGTAATATATATATATATATATATATATATATATATATATATATATATATATATATATATATATATTCATCGAGGAGGAGCATAGGCTGCCTACCAGCTCTCTCCATCCAAACCTGTCCTGAGCAATCCTTTCCAGCTGCTATTCACCCTTTTCATGTCTACTGTTAATTATCAGCTCAGTGTATTTTTTGACCTTCCTCTTCTCCGTTTCCCATCACAATTCCAAGTTAGCGCTTTCCTCGTGATGCAGTTTAGTGATTTCCACAATGTATGCCCTACTCACTTCCAACATTATTTCCTAATTTCCTTTTCAACTGGAAGCTGGTGTGTCCTCTCCCACAGTAGCCTGTTGCTGACGGTGTCCGGCCAACAGACATTTAGTGTCTTTAGCAGAAAACTGTCTACAAATACTTGTACTTTTTTGATGATGGTTGTGGTAGTCCTTCAAGTTGCAGCTCCGTACAGTAGGAGTGTCTTGATGTTCGTATTGAAAATTCTGACTTTGGTGTTTGCTGACAGTTTTTTTGAGTTTCATATGTTCTTGAACTGTAGGAACGCTGCTTTTGCTTTACCGATTCTCTTCTTTACGTTTGCATCAGATCCTTCTTGTTTATCGATGATGCTCCATAGGTACGTAAAACTTTTCATCTCTCCCAAAACACCCTTAATTTTTCTTCTAAATCTTCCCGAATAAAATCTGTGGTACCTTTTCAGTTACTTGTATATTTGACTTAAGTGCTTCAGCTATTATATTGTCTGGTCCTGCTGCTTTCCGACTCTTGATTTGTCTAACGGTCATACTGATGTATTCGATTGTCCGTGGGGCTACATCTATAGGGCGGTCTGTGTGTGCTGTTCCAATGTACGGTTAGTTCAGTAGGGCTGATCCATTCAAGGATTCTTCAAAGTGTTCTGCACACTTGTCCTGCTGTCGTTGTATCTCAGTGATTGACTTTCCTTGGTTGCTCTGGTCTTTAATTTTCCCCGACTAGTTTCTTCGTTGTGTCACATAGTTGTCTCATTCCCTTCTCTTTCAGCTTTATAGACGCCCCACAATGGTAGTATTTCTCGACCTTAAAGCAGCGTTCGACTCTGTTGATCGTGAGGTTCTATGGCAGTGTTTGTCACTGAAAGGAGTACCAAAGAAGTACACTAACCTTATAAAGGCTCTCTACTCGAACACAAATGGTAGAGTGAGAGCTTATGGCGAACTGTCATCAGAATTGATTACCTCAAGTGGTGTTCGTCAGGTCTGTCCACTCTCTCCATTCTTGTTTGACTTTGTCGTCGATGTACTTTTAGAGATGACACTTTCCTCGTCTAGATTTCCAGGGGTTGAACTCCTACCGGGAGATTCACTTGTTGACTTAGAATATGCTGATTGCATAGTTTTATTTGGCGAAGACGCTGACAAAATGCAGAGTCTTCTGATCACTCTGAGCAACAATGCAAGCATGTTTGGGATGCGATTCTCTCCCTCGAAATGCAAAATGTTGCTTCAGGATTGAGTTACATCGACACCTGAACTAGTGATAGGGAGTGAAGTAGTTGAGTGTGTCGACCGCTTCACTTATCTTGGAAGTCTCATCAGCCCTTGTGGTCTGGTGTGTGACGAAATCTCAGCAAGGATACAGAAGGCTCGACTAGCTTTTGCCAACTTGCGTCATTTATGGCGTAGGCGAGATATCCGTCTGTCAACCAAAGGACGTGTTTACTGTGCAGCAGTTCGTTCCATCCTACTTTATCGCTGTGAAACATGGCCGGTAAGAGTAGAGGATATTCGTAGGTTACTAGTATTTGATCATAGGTATCTTCGAAACATTGCTCGTATATTCTGGGACCATCGAGTAAGTAACACAGTTGTAAGGAAACGGGTACTAGGTAAGGATGGCAAATCGATTGATGAAGTGGTGAAACTTCATCAGTTGAGATGGCTGGGACACGTGTTACGTATGCCCAACGACCGACTGCCTCGACATGCGATGTTCAGTGGTATAGGAGTAGGTTGGAAGAAAGCTAGGCGCGGCCAGACCAAAACATGGCACAAGTCCTTGAAGTCACTGACAAGTGGACTGAGCCATGTTGGTAGGTGTAGACTACTTGGTTGGGGACCGCGAGATGATAGCAACCGATGGTTAGAGACCCAGAATGACATGGCTCAAAATCGTTTGCAATTGTGCAGGTGCATCCATTCTTTGTGTTCTCCCAAATTCTAATCTCCTGATTCCTCCTTGTCTCTTTTTTCTCTTCTTAAATTTATTTCACTGGATTATACTCTTTAAATAACATCTCCGAACCCTAATCTTCCCGATTACTGCTTATACTCTTACTACCTCCACCACTACGGGATTTAAATGGACTACTGCATCCCTGTGCTAATTTGTTATGGCAACTCGAACTGATGTACGTACGTACGAAGTTCTACTTTGTTACTGACTGACTGACTGACTTTCTGCTTTGAACTTTGTCGTTGCCAGATCTTCTACGTATGTCTACTTGTCGGCTCTAATGCTCATCTTTACCCGCTTGTTTGCTGTGCATTCGGTCTGCCCTTGGCTTCCTCTACGCCAGTTCAGAAGTTGTCAATTGTGTGCCCTTGTTCTTCCCTTCTTGTATCCTTGCCTTGATGTCGATAGAGATTCATTCCTTATGATGAAGTTTCTCGAGGCCTAGCACCGCCTAACACGTTGAAGTGAGCGCTTTCTTGATCCCTTTCCAGTTGTTGACTAACTATGGATCCAGCCAAATTAGAAAAATTGTTTGAACAACAGCTGAAGCTGATGGAGATGATTACTCAGGCGCTCATATCTTCTCGAGTCTCAATTACACCGACAATCCCTCAATCAGTTGATGGTATTACCAGTAGTATTTCAGAATTTCTTTTGTTATCCTGACTCTAATATTACATTTGATACTTGGTTCAGGCGTTATGAAGACCTTTTCAAAGTTGACTTTCCTGACAGATGATTCGTGGAAGGTGCGTCTTCTCCTTCGAAAACCTGGTCCATCCGAGCTGGACAGGTATTCCAACTTCATTATACCGCAGTACCCACGCGACCGTTCCTTCGACGCCACTATTCAGTCTCTTAGCCAACTTTTTGGTGATTATCATTCACTTTTCAGTACTCGATATCGCTGCTTAAAACTGTTCATAGATAAGTCCGATGACTTCTTGATCCACGTCGGCGTTGTTAACCGTGAGTGCGAACGATTCAAGCTCAGATCCCTCACTCAAGACCAATTCAAGTCCCTAGTACTCACATGTAGTCTTCAATCACCAAATTCTCCGACATCAGAACTCGGTTGCTTAACCGCCTTGAACAAGACCCAACACTGACACTCAATGCGATCATAGACGAGTACCAACGCGTCACCAATCTTCAGCGTGACACCACTTTGGTTCAATCTGGGGGCCAGGGTGGTTCCGAAGTTCATGCTGTTCAGCACCAAAAAAGTCTTTGAAATCGACAACCTCGAGTCCTTCGAACGCCAGTGCTGTTTCTGTCTCTAATCACTCTAAACCGACTCAGAAGAAGCCCCCCTCGCCATGTTGGCACTGTGGAGCCTGGAATTATGTGAAGTTTTGCCCATTCAAACAGCATATGTGCGATCGCTGTCAGGAAGTTGGTCACAAAAGCGGCTATTGCAAATCCAACCGGTCCAATAACCGTCGAAATGCATAGATCCAGCATCGTTTTCCCAAAAAGCCAATTACCTTATCAAGGAGTTTAGCAGCAGTCTTCCACACTCATGCCGCGACTCGACGCAAATTCTTGACCCTCTCAATCAATGGTCAGCCAGTTCGGTTGCAGTTGGACACTGCATCAGATATCACTATTCTATCGAAAAAGACTTGGCGAACCTTGGGCCAACCTCCCATCAAACTATCCTCTCAGACAGCTGTCAGTGCCTTTGGGGGTCATCTCCACCTTCATGGTGAACTGTATTGCTGCATTTCATTCAGAGTTACAACCTTCAATGGGACGTGCTACGTCACCAGTTCTCCGCTCAACCTTCTATGTTTAGATTGGTTCGAAGAACTTGGTCTCGCTGATCTTCCCATTAGCGCTATCTGTAATCAAGTACAAACTACTTTCTCTACACAACAGCATGCCGCAGACCTACAAAAACGATTTATTGAACTCTTTCAGCCTGGTCTCGGACTTTGTTCCACAACGGAAGCTGTTTTAAGACTGCAGCCAGAAGCTACGCCAGTTTTTCTCCTCAAACGTACAGTCCCATACGCATCTATACCTCTGGTTGACGCTGAACTTCAGCGTTTGGAAACTGAGGGTGTTCTAGTACCTGTTTCTTATTCATCATGGGCTGCACTAATTGTGGTTGTAAAAAATCCAATTGTTCCTTACGCATCTGTGCAGACTTTTCCACAGGACTCAACGCGGCTCTACAACAGCATCACTATCCGCTGCCGATCCCAGATGACTTATTTACTATTTTAAATGGTGGTACCTACTTTGCTAAGCTGGATCTGGCGGATGCTTACCTTCAAATTCCCGTCGCTCTCGAATCAAGAGATTGGTTGACAATCAACTGTCACCGAGGACTTTTTCAGTATCCATGGTTACACTTTGGTATCAAAAGTGCTCCAGCAATCTTCCAGCAGATCATGGATACTATTCTGGCAGATGTTCCTGGTGTTGCTACATACCTTGACGATGTCCACATTGTCGGCTCAACTGCTGATGAACTGCATACCAGAATCCACTTAGTTCTACAACGCCTCCAGGATAATGGTTTTCGCCTTCGCCCAGGAAAATGCCACTTCTTATGTTCCTTTAAATACCTGGCGTTTATCTTTGATGCTTCCGGACGACACCCTAATCCTCAAAATACTTAGGCAATCCAAGAAATGCCTGCCCCCACTGATGTCTCCTCACTGCGATCATTTCTGGGAATGATTAGCATGACGTACGATATCCATCAAATCGTCTGCTGGAAAAGAATGCTGCTTGGGATTGGTCAACGCAATTTGAGTCAGCCTTTTCAAAACTTAAAGCCATGCTAAGTTCAAATCTACTGCTAATTCAATACAATCCGAAACTACCTATTGTGGTTGCTGCTGACGCTTCAAAACATGGGCTGGGTGCCGTACTGTCGCATATCTTCCCTGACGGTTCAGAGAAAGCGGTGATGCACACTTCGAGAACACTAGCACCTGCTGGGAAACTCTACGGCCAGATCGAGTAGGAAGCGTTAGCCCTGATTTTTGCTGTCCGGCGATTCCACAAATTCATTTACGGGCGCCGTTTCACCTTGCCCACAGACCACAAGCCGTGGTTATCAATATTTGGATCAAAGAAAGACATTCCTGCCCATTCTGCTAATTGTCTTCAACGTTGGCCGTTGGCGTTATTGGGGTGCGACTTCGACATGTAGTATCAACGTTCCGAAGATTTTGGTCAATCAGATGCACTGTCCAGACTTATCAGTAACCATTCTACCACTGATGAGGACACACTCATAGCCATAATATCAACGGAAGAGGATTCCGGTGCTACTCTATTAGCGAATGCCGTTCGAGCAATGCCTGTTACCGCTGAAGATGTTCGGAAAGCTACTAGAGAAGACCTAATTATACAAGAAGCGATCACCTATGTTCAGAGCAGATGGCCAGTTAAGCAACTGAGTGGTGATATGCAACAACTAGCGAATCGTCTCAGCGCCCTCTGTGTTTTTTACGCTTGTCTGATGTTCGGTGTTTGCGTAGTAATTCCAACAACCCTACGTTCTAAGGTCCTACGCCAATTTCACTCTGGACACCCAGGGATAAACCGTATGAAATCCATCGCTCGGAGCTATGCATATTGGCCGAACATGGACAAGCATATTGTCGACTTCGTCAAAAGATGTTCACAGTATCAAAAGCTGCCAAAAAAACCCCTAAGTTGCCTCCAGTACCCTGACCAAAGCCAGAAAAACCCTGATCGCGAGTGCATATTGACTTCACCGGACCCCTAGATGGTACCACATTTTTGTTACTGGTTAACTCCTACTCCAAATGACCGGAGATATTGCCAATTGTGCCACACTCTACAACTCGAACCATCAAACTCCTTAATCAGATTTTCGCTCAGCATGGTCTTCCAGAAACAATAGTAACAGACAATGGTTCACAGTTCACATCTATCCATTTTCGAGAATTTCGCCTGCAAAACTCGATCAACCATGTCCATTCTCCGCCATATCACCCGCAATCTAATGGACAGGCTGAATGGTTCGTTGATACATTTAAACCAGCCATACTTAAAGCACGATGGGAGAGAACCACAGAAGATATCATAGGACGATTCCTAGTTGTGTACCGGACGACCCCGCATGACTTATTGCCAAACTTCAAATCCCCTGCTGAGATGCTTATGGGGCGAAATCTACGGACAGTCCATGGTGCGATGACACCCAAGCAAGTGGCCCAGAAAAGACCCCAGATGAAGAATACTCGAATTCCCTACGAAGTTGGTTCAAAAGTGTATGCGCGGGATTATAGACATGGATGTGATAGATGGGTAGATGGTGAAATCGCAAAGAAACATGGGGATGTCATGTATGATGTCAAAGTGAACCAAGAAATCTGGACCAGGCACCACAATCAACTAAGGCCAAGGCAAACTAAGGAGAAAGAAGCAATTACAAAACGCATCCCACTCGACTTGCTGTTGGACACTTTTCAACTTCCGACAGAGACAACTAATTCATCTACTCAAGTAGAACATCCTTCTGGTTCTGGGTGGTTGCCTCAGAGGTCGGACCGCAAACGAAGACACCCAAAGAATTTTCACGTAAACCCTCGGTTACGTCGCTATTATCCTGTTAAGTCTAATACTATCCTTAAACGTGAAATTGTGTCATTTTCCTATTGGTCAATATTTATTTCACGTGCCGTTTCCCTACTGGTCAATGTTTATTTCACGTGTCATTTTCCTGTTGGACAATATTTATAGTAGTCCTAACTGTTTAAATATGCATTTGTCTGTAAATTCTTATTCTTCTCCTGACCCTATAAACGCTTTTCATCTACGGTTCGTGTTCTGATATATTGGAGTTTGGGAACAGTATTGGGGTCGTACTGGAATATCTGAAGTTGGTCAGTCGGTAGAAATTAGAGTAGCCCCCCGCGGTCCACAATAGGTTGTCAGAAGGAGCATCGGCCCCGTGAATTCCGAATATTCTTGACTTTCACTTTGAGGGGTCGTAATTCTTCTAAATGGAGATTCTTCAACTCCCATGATAGTCTGAAGTTTCTTCTGGTTTGAGTGTTGTTTGGCAATGTCGTTTTCTACGAGATGGAGTTGATAACCCTATGCACGACCCTTCTCCTTTACTCGGGTTTGGGAGTGACATCAACCGTACAAGAGCTACAAACGGATTTCACCCCATATTCGCAACCTGTCACCCATGCAAGTATTGATCGGGCTCAACATTGCTTATCTCCGGCAATCGGTCGATAATAGGTGTTTTCGATATTTGTACAGGTGTATGTTTTTTTTGCTTTCAAGTAGAATATGTGTTAGAGAATGGAACTTAAATGCTGTAATGTTACTATTTAACCATAATATTGTTTTCCATTTCCATAGGTATAATTTTATCTCAGTTAATGTTTTGCAGATGCTGACAAAACTATCACCAACTGGATAATTGGTTAGACATCATCAGAAAGTTCGAAGTTTTTTAAAAATTAATAAATTTGTTTGTAAAGTTTATTACTTTAGTAATTTGGATTACTTTGTTAACTGGCAAAGAAATCACATTACTCTTTTGAAGAACGAAGTTCTAATTAAGTGAAGTAGTATTTATAAGAAATACATTACCGTTATTTCTTTTCTAGAGTCTTCCCTCATTAGAAATGACCAGAATTATGTTATTAACAAGCATGTAACGTCAACAAATTCTAATTGGGAATTCTGCCAATGATGCAAAATATCGATTTTAAACTGTCACAAAATGATTTAGAATAATGAGCAACACAATTATTGCGTCAATATTCGCTTTCCACTTAAATTAAATTTCACATTATATTTCATGTTAACGTCGTAGGTTGAGAACATTGTTGAGATATCTTCCTCGTTATCGGAATCGAATAATGTCGCCCAAAAATCACTACATAATTGGGACCCGAATCGCGGTTGTATACTTCTTCAATGTTTGCAGTATCTACTAGTTATGTTTGGAGAATATGGATGCTTGCATTCGGAATTAAATAGTTATTTGCTTTGTTTGTTACCAGTTGTTGAGAAAATCAATGGTGTCATTATTTCCTTACGCCGTAGTCTGTCTCTGTGAGTTGTGACGTTTTGTCCTTTATTTTTATGATGGACCTTAATTACTTAAAACCACTGTTGCCAGCACATAAACTCACTTGTCGCGTCTAAGTATCATTATTAACTTATTGAGTACACATGCTTCATCGTTGTATCTTCTAATCATAGGACGAATGATTCGTTCATTCTGGCTCAATGTTTGTGTTTTAGAAAAGTCAGTCAGTGTTATACAATTCAGGACCTATTACAGTTTTGCACTGGTCCAATTCTCCATATTACACTTGACAGTAATCAATTTTTTACTAGATGAATAACCGAATTGATGCTAGCATCAATCACGGTTAAGAATAATAATCGTAGTGAACATGGTTTGTAAGAGAGTTAAATAAGCGAATAAAACAAAACTGATTATTCGGATGAAGATAAAGAATAAATAGATCTGGACCGACTTGGATATGTGTCGCATAAGCTACTGTTAATTTTCTTCCGTATTTTCAACCTTGTGACATTTTATAGGAACTGGATTAATCGAAACATAAAGTCTGTTAAAATTGTTTATTCACGTGAAATCGATACACGAGGATTTTTGTTCCAAAAATCTTATTTAAAGATAGATAATCACTCATTCGTTAGTAAACTACAATTTTTCAAGTATTCCCATCAAATACATATCCACTTGATTAACGACCGATGTGTGGGTATTATTCATGTTGTAAACCTTTTTTATTGTGCAGAGACTGGTTGTGGTAGAAGGAAGTTTTATCACTGCTATTATTCTTGAAGTTTGGAAATTATGTTACTATTAAAAATATCAATCACTAAACTACATTTCATGTTGGTTTATTTTCAACTCCTTCACCGGGTTTTTTATTTCATTCTCAGGTCTAACGAGCTTCTTTCTACGGAATCAGAATTCGCTTTAACACACCGTCCAGTAGCATGCAATCGATTGTCTACTTCGAGTCGTATCAGCGACCTCACATCTATCTCAATTCAGTTTCTTGTCGATCTTCTGCTTCCAAGTATTTCTACTCATGTTTCACTACCTTCAGGTCGTATTTTTTTAATCATACAGTGTTTAGGTCAGTTTCCTTGGTTTTGTGGAGAATTATTGAATTACAGCTTTGGTTCTTGGATTAAAAGCGTATTTGATTGTTTGAATTTATATTTGAGTTATGCAGGTGTAATTTTTAATAGTTGGCCTCGTTGATATATATCGCACAATTGATCAAACTAAGATATTCTTTAATTCAGAATTACATAGAAGGCTACCTTCCGTTATGTAGATGCTGTTTATACTTTTAAGTGAACAAATGATCGAGCTGTATCGGTTAAAGAAATCTGATCCTGAGTGCTGAATTTGCTTAATTCATTAAAAATCATTCGTTATATCATGTGGTTTCGGAGTGAAACATAGCGCGAAATTACCGGTGTAAGAGACCATTATTCCACCTCACCTTATTTATAATATTTTGCTATGAAATCATCATTTTCAAAGCCGTATGAACATTTATGTGTCGGAATTTATAAGTGTATAAACAAATTTTTCATTCAATTATTTATAAGTGATGCTGGGCCTGGAAAAAATGTCCATCGGCTTTAATAGTAGTGATATCGAATTTAGTTCGAAAAGAGGTGGTAGAGATTCCGGCAATATAATGATACTGTACGTCTATCAGAATATTATATTGTATTGTAACTTGAAATATGATCACATTTGTTTAAATAAGTAGCTACGAAAAGGAGATCGATGGAACAATTAGTGCATTAGAGTAAACAGAGTAAATGTGAATATCATGAACTAATGGTTTGAGATCAAAGAAATATTATTTAAAAGATAACCAAGAATTTCGGGTACAAACAATGTTTACAGTAATCATAAGATTTTTTGTAAAATTCAGAGCATCGTACAATAAACTGACCTTCCTGGGAAACGGAGACTTTGAGATCTAAATAGGAAAATATGAAATAACTGCCTTCACATGGAAGATGAGTCCCCACAACTTCAGTCACTTTATATCAATTCATCTGCGTCTATTGAGCTAGTGGTGCAGCTCGTACGTCAAGGTCTCTTGTCTCATTCAGAAGCATCTACAGAGATGTCATTATTTGGGAAAATTATATTTGAAATAATCTCAGCAATTGTAATTTGAATAATTCCAACGTTTCGTTCAGCTAACTTCTTCAGGGTAGTAATCTAAATCTAAATCATCAAAGAAATTTCACAGATTGAAATCATGAGTCAGTTGAAGCTAGACCACCATTGAAAACCTGGAAACTTTTAACAATCAAAACCATACTGTGTTAAACCAATCAAATTTGGATGTTGATTTTTTGTAAAATAGGATGAAGTGAGTCAGTTAACTGCAAATCATGTGAAAAATTCAACTACATGGAAACAACTGAATAATGAATTGTATGTGTGTGAATGTGTATGTATGTATGTATTTGTGAGATTAATTATTGATATTCGGTGTTAATATGTTATATATGAAGTAATAAACAAATAAAAGTGCACGTTCAAGGTTGAAAAATTGTTTCTGAATCATCGACGTGCATATCAAATTTAAGAATCAAACAAATACATAATCGTATTTCTGAAACCTTATTGAACTCAGTCCAGAATAACCATGCATATGAAATAAACAGGTTGAATAAAGAGAGGGTTCAAATTACTTGTCAAACGAAATTTGCCAGGTAGTCGCTAGTTGAATACCACCCTTTCTGTTCAGGCTGTTCTTATTCGCCCATATATACAGAGCTTCTGCTGTCAATCTTTCTTTATGGGTGTTAAAACCTTTCAGAATTATATTGGTCCCTTCAAAATTAATCTTTTGTCCTGTTTCTAACGCATGTAGCGCTATCGCAGACTCATTCTTAAGTTTCTTCAAATCAACCGAGGATTCGGGAACATTTTTCAAACATTGTTTTCCTTCAACCTTACATTCAATTGCCTGGATGTTTCTCTAACATAGGCTACATTACAATCATGACAGTTGATCTCAAACACGATATTCTGTTGTTCTTCCTTTGTCAACCTGTTCTTAGCTTTCACTGATGTCGATCTTAAGGTGTTACTCGCCCTAACATATACTCCTATGTCGTGTTTGTTTAGAATCCGCTTGATTTCTTCCGATGTTTCACTACAGTATGGGATGACTCGGTGTACTTCCAAACTTTTCGTATACATTCTAGTCTAGTTTTTCTTTCATTTTTAACAACCTTCTTTAAAAACTCTTTTGGGTAGTTGTTATCCCTAAGAGTAGAAAATACTTTATTTAATTCAGTTCGTTGGTCTTCCTTGTCTGTAACAAGCTTAGTACTTCTGTTCATTAGATTTTTTACAACATTTGATTGTTTTGTTGAACGTAGACAATAATAATAAGTTGAAAATAAATTTTTACAGGAAATCAACATTCGGAGAAATACTTAGATTTTGATTCAGCCCATGCACAGTGCACGAAAATTAATTAGATTTTGACTACTACCCTGAAGAAGTCCAGACAAGTTAGCTGGACAAAACGTTGGAATTATTCAAATTTCAATCGCTGAGATAATTTCATATATAATTTTCACATATAATGACTTCTCTATACTAGGCGCCCAATTCCTGTCAAACTATTCCGTATAATCTTGATGAGTATTCGTACAAAGCTACAGAGATGGCTCTGGCTATTCAGAAGCAACTAATTTGTTCATGTTTGAGATTTAGGTACACTATTTTGTACTGAATGCTTAAACGTCAGTCTCCATACTGTCAAAGTAGAAAATTAGACAATATATATACCTCTTCGGCATTCTTTATTTTTAGCAATTTCGTAGTTGAAGTTGTTGCCTAATGCAATCGGAATGTCAGATAACTATTTTTCATTGTAATTGGTTATGATGTTCATTCTAATTCGAATGATTTTATGATTTTTGGCACTTTTTATTTTTATTTTCAGGCTCATCATATTTTGATTCTATTAGCTGGCCTTTTGATATTAAGTGGAACGAATGCATCTTGCAATTACTTGAAGCTGTATGGTGAGTTTCAGGCAATTGTTTTAACATTTTCTCATTAATATAAAATATTTCATTGTTTGGTTATCGCTGGACACCTGTGTTCATTTTAGATCCTTCTTAAACATATCTATCTCGAACGGTTTGTTCATGGTAAATGCTATTATAATTATCCGTTAAAATTACATAAGAATTCGTCAACCAACGATCGCTAGCTTGGTCAGCCGTACAGAAGCTTTTCAACTTTGTAAATGGATATTTAAACTTGAGCTTGGCCATCCGGAGACGTATCAGAACTCTAGTCGTATTGTTCTGTAATTCCCATTCGTGCTTCACTTCCTAATTAGGTGTTAAATAAACATATCTCGCTTTTGATGGAGTTTTTTTCTCTGAGCTAGATGATTTGGTTGAGAAAAAAAACTCCATTAAAATCATCTACCTGAGCTACAAATCTCCACCGTCTCAAAAACATATCTCTTCTGAAATTTTTATCTCTTCACATGTGTTATTGATCTCAATGCAGCAGTACGTAGTATTCATTCCCTGCTCTTTTCAAAGAGTTATGTCATCCCAATACTATTGTTTCAGAGCTCTGAATACTAACACCATTTTAGAAAATTAGGTATCATACATTTTTATTGAATACCTGTTTGAGGGTGTTTGGTACTTTTCACATTTGCGTGTTTTCCATGAGTTTTTCCTAATGTTTTCACTGCCGAATTTTAGCAAGTATGTGGTTGGTTTATAGTCATATTATGTGATCAAATAGTTTTCGTCAGAAAGTTAAACTTTTATCTGTAAAACTGATTTTCTGAAACTAAGTTCACCTAGACTTTAAGAATTGGTCAGTCAGTTATCTACAACGTAGGACCAGACACATATATTCATCGGTCCAAGTTGTCATACCTTATTAGCACAGCAAGATGAACACCGAATTCATAGCAGTTACTTCAATTAAAAAATATTGCATATAAGGATATGATACAGGGAGAAAGAATTAGTTCGTAGAAAGAAAGATATGAAGTGATTTTAATCTCTTAGTTTAAGGGAAGACAGAAAATGTATACACCTACACAGTTGTGATCGATTCTGGGCCATGTCTCTCAGAGTCTCCAACCATTGATTACAATAGTCAGGCGGACCCCAACCAAGTAGACTGCATCTACTAACATGGCTCAAACCGGAAGTTGATGACTTCAAGCACTGATGTCACGTTTCGGTTTGGTCGTCCCTAACTTTCTTCCAGTGTTATAACTTGTGACCGCTGATTAGAGAGCAGTGACCTATCGATCGGATCAATAACACGTAAAACCGTATGAGCAGCCTAGAGTTCTGATTGGTCCCGCTTCCCTGTCTAGCTCAGCCAGTTTAGTCCAGAACGCAAGTCTCAGCCCCTGAGATATGAATCGTTATATTTCAAACACACTCTGCTTATATACCAATCAAGCATACCACATCGTACCATAAAATAGAAAATAACATTTGACACGTGAAATAAATATTGACCAATAGGAAAATGATACCATGTCAAGTCCAAGAATAGCATTAAACTTAATAAAATAATTCTTGGGATATTTTCCTGAATATCCAAGCACCTCCTTTTTTGAAGATCCGGAATTGATATCCGGATTTTAAATTTTCCGAGTTCATCCTACCCCGCGAAATAATGTTGCGTTCTCATATACCCAAGTTACAATTAATTTGACTGTATTTAAAACGTAGTGAACATAGATTCCGTTAAAATCGAACAGATAGTGAGGATAAACCCCATTGATTTCGAAGTCATCAAAGTTTGAATCTTCTGAAATATTGTCATCACTTTCAATTGTGAATAATAGATCACTACGGTAATCAGCATCTATCATATTCGTATTAGGTTTCTGATCATCATTTCATGCATCTGAATTATTTTCTGATAAAAGAGAATCTCGATAATAAAATTCGTCAGAAACTTCTGTTGCTGAATGATGAGGACTATCCTCAACACAGGCCAGCATTGTGCGTCGCGGTAATCGGTGTTCAGGCATACGCAACACGTGGCCCAACCATCTCAGTCGATGAAGATTCACAATCACATCGACTGATTTACCATAATTCCCTAATACCCTGCGTCTAACCTCACTATTACTTATCTGACGGCCACAAAAGATGCGGGCAATATTTCTAAGGCATCTGTGGTCAAATACTAGAAGCTTACGAGTATCTTCTACTCTTAATGGCCACGTTTTGCAGCCGTAAAGTAGAACAGAACGAACTGCCGCTCAGTATACTCGTTCATTAATTGATAGATGGCTATCTCGCCTTCACCATAGGTGATGTAAGTTGGCAAAAGCCAGACGAGCTTTTCAAATCCGTGCTGAGATTTCTTCAGACACCAACCCACTACGGCTGACCAGACTTCCAAGATAAGTAAAGTTGTTGACACCTCCGACCACTTCACTCTCTTTCCTTAGTTCAGGTGTTGACACAGGCCAGTTCTAAAGCAACAACTTGCATTTAGAGAGGGGAACGCATCCCAAAAATTCCGGCATTGTTGCTCAGTGCTACCAGAAGACTGCATTTTGTCAGCGTCTTCACCAAACAGGACTATGTCATCTGCATATTCTAAGTCGATAAGTGGACCTCCTGGAAGAAGACCAATTCCTGAAAATTCAGATGACGAGGACGTTATTCCCAGCGGTAGGCCTACGATGAAATTGAACAGGAATGGAGAAGTTGCGAAATCGCACTTCTGAGGTACACATTTCAATGACAGATACTGCCACAGAACCTCTCGGTCTCTAGAGTCAAATGCTGCTTTCAAGTCAAGAAAGACCACCATTGTCGGACGCCAATAAGTATGCCTGTGTTCTAGAACTTGACGAATGGTGAATATGTGGTCGATGCAGCCACGATCAGGTCTGAAGCCAGCTTGATTCTCTCGTGTGTGCAGTTCACGAATCTTAGTTAAGCGTCCGATGATTATTGATGCTAGTATTTTAGGTGCTATATTAGTCAAACTAATCCCTCTATGGTTATCACAGGATGATTTTGACCCATTCTTATATATTGGGACAATCAGTGATTGTGACCAGTCAGGTGGGATTACGTCCAACTCTCATATTTTAGCTAAAATATTAGTCAACCTAATTGCTAGAATCGGACCACCATCCTTAAAGACCTCTGGAGGCAATCCATCTGTCCCTCCTCGTTTCAGAATAGCTATAGCCTCTTGAACTTCAGCCAGAGTTGGGGGACCTACTTCAATGTTTTATCCACACTGTCTGGGAATGGTAGAGTAGCTGAACTGTTCTCTAAAATGTTCCTCCCATCGTTCTAAACGTCTGGTCTGAGAACAGATAAGAGTGTCGTCTTTTTTCGAAATACTCTGACTTACATTTGACTTATTAATTCCAGTTTCTTTTATTGGTCTGTAGAGCTGTGTTGTGTTACCTATAGCCGCCGCCTTTTCCATCTCTTTCGCTTTCGTTGCACACTACTGCTCACGGTCGTTCCTTAGACTTTTGGCTAACCTAGATCTGATTTGTTTACGCTCTTCATCGTGTTCAGAACCTGATGGTATGAGCTTACGAGAACCCATCAGTTTAATAGACCTTGAAAAAATCCATTGGTTCTTTGTAACCTTGTGGTTTAAATTACTGGTAGATGTCACTACTGTTTCCACAGCTGCTTGTATATCTCTCCAAGCTACATCTGGGTCAGCCTCATTTTCAGAACTATCTAAGTGTGACCTTGTTTGTTCCTGGAACCTACTTTTGGTTTTCTCGTTACTCATTTCAGTTCTAGTAGGTCTTTTTAATGTGACTTTCTTGTGTCCAGTGAGGCGCAAGCAGATGCGTGCTCGTATTAGGGCATGGTCGGAGTCCAAGCAGGTACTCCAGAATGAGCGACAATCTTCTACCGACCCTCTCCAACGATGAATGATGGCAATATGGTGTATGGGGTCGCCATGTTAGACGATGTATCTTCTTATGCTTAAAATAGTGCTCTCTCCGATGTCTCTGCTTAAATTAGTGATTACTATAGATAAACGATTTTCTGAGGACAGTTGAGGAAGACGATCACCACTATCTGTTCGCTAAGCCGGAGTACTAAAACACGCACCTTAATGCCTTTCTGTTTGGTTTAAACTACCGATCTGGGCATTCAAGTCACCTACTACGAGTACTATGTCTGAACGTTTAGCTTTCTGAAGAAGTTCAGAGAGCTTTCTATAAAATTCATCTTTCAGTTCATCCGAGCTACAGTCAGTGGGAGTGTAGGCAGAAACGACAAAAAGACAATGACGTGTGTCCCTATCCTTCCGAGTTCTTACGGGGCCGTTTAGCCGAACAACACATGAACGACTGTTAACGGGGATCCACTCTAACAGTGCTTGTTCCGCCCTCATGCTTAGTGCTATGCCTACACCTGCTAGTCCACGAGAATCTGCCATCGGGTCGCCAGATAAACGATGCGCGTATCTCGTTGGCTCCCCGTTCTGGCTAGGTGAGGTAAAGTGAATGATCACACTAGGATCCTGTATGTGTGTTTCAGAGACAAAGCATACATCAATGGTACGAGGTTCTGGGGTTTTAGCCAAGGAGGCCTACTGATCGATTTGACATAGGGTGAGTACTCTGAAGGCTCCAATGTGTAGTTTTGAGCGAGGTTTCAGTAGACCTGAGACAGTGTTTTGCGCATTAGAATCGTCAGCTATGGTGACACTTGAGGAGGAAGCTTAGGCTTGAAAGTCGATGTAGGAGGGATGATAGGAATTGAAGAGTGAGGTTGATTGTGAATACAGTGGTCTTGAGTGCTGTTAAAGGAATGAGGGCGGTTATCACTTCCCGGTTGCCCACACCGTAGAAGTGTTCTTCTAGAGGTACTTGAGAAGGAAATTGGGCTAGAGTTGGTTTTAGTGATCTGAGAGCGTGACCGCAGTGCCGAAGGGACAACTTGTTGAGACCTAACAACCGGAGGATGATTCCGTGGGATAAGGTGAGTTGTGCAGTTTTAGGGTCAACCTCTCCCAGCTTCACCCTTCCATTGTGGAAAGGTAGCATCGTTGTTATGCTGGTTGTCTGAGGGAAACCTTTTACTGCAGTTACACTTTTGCACAGTTAGTAGTACGACTTCACCCTCGGACCTTGGGTTAGCTGCTTTTAGTCGTACCGCTCTTCAACCGACCTGTCAGTCATTGTAGAACCTTGAGGAACGATTCTTCCAGTCAGTTTAGTCCGATTATTTCATCACGATATGTGAGCCTAACCACTATGTCAAGGTAGCACGAACGGTTGGAAACATCTAGAATAGTGAGTGTTGTTTTAGTTTTAATTATTCTCTTCGTTTTCCAGACTTCGACGTTTAATGCTCTGATAAAAACATCGTAAATTGTTTAAATTCATAGTGACCTCGTGTGAAAAGCATTATGAATTAATTTATTGATTTTGTTTTGTGTACTCAGCCGTCAGCATTACTTTAATGCCTTTTCTTTTTTCTCATAGTTCGTTAGAATACTCTGAATCAAACTTAGAATTGTTTAGTAAGTCTTTTTTTCTCCTTATTGGTATTGTTTCATTGCAGTTACACGACTCTCCAAATGATGTAGACAGTTTTAATCCTAGTGTCGCTTTTTTCGTCATATAACTGTGTTACCAACTTGAAGTTTCTCAAATAACACAGGATGTTTATTTATATTTGAGATGTCTACATATACTCTTATCAACCTTTAGAACCCTTCAGACAAATTTTTTGCCGATCAATATTTACTTCTATTAAGGATAAGATTTTTGTTCTGTATTTTTTGTCAACTGGGTATTGAACTATGATTTCATCACCTTTTTTAGGAGCCATGTAGATTGTTCTCTATGATAAATGTAAGTAAATATTTCATCTAATAATTTCCATGACTGATTGAGTCAGTGTTGTGACTTTAAACTTGGGTCGATTTTTACTCCGTGCCAATTGTCGTGTACGTTACTGAAAAGATTAGAGAGCAGTGTATTATAGATCGAATCAGTAACACGTAAAACACGCACGAACGGCCTACAGTTCTGATTGGTCCTGCTTCCCTGTCTAGCCCAGCCAGTTGAGTCCAGAACACAAGTCACAACCTCTGAGATATGAATCGTTATATTTCAAACACACTCTGCTTATATACCAATCAAGCATACCACATCGTACCATAAAATAGTAAACAAAATTTTGTACAATATTTAACAAGTGAACAAATATCGACCAGTAGGAAATGTCCATTTAAAGCCCTAGGACACCATTGGACTTAACATGATAATTATTGGTATATTCCTCTGCATCCCTAACAGTCAGTAAAACAGTCACTTTTTCATCAAACAGGAGAACTATGACTAGTACACCTTTAAATCACAATGAGATGCAAATACTGTCTTTTGAAGAGTATCAACTATATAGATCGAACTAAAATCAAGTGTTTAAGTTATCAGAAATCATTTCGGCTTTTTAAATTATTACGTACTTATTGAAGGGAGACAAACGAATAAAAATAAGTGAACTGCAGTACTGTTTGATGGGAGAAGCCTTTCAGTTAAAAAAATACAGCCATAAAAAACCCTTCTGTTAAAGAAGTACCTCTGCATTTTATAACATGTGCGAAATAAAATTACATTTTATCGTCATTGGTTCCTGTTCTGAGCCATGTCTGATAGTCTCGAATTACTGAGTTGTATTATCTCTCAAACCCAAACTATGGAGTCGCCATTGATCTACAGATGCCAGTCATATACATTTTTTTTATAACCTGGTCCAGCTTCATATGCTGACCACTACTCCGCTTTTTTTACAGCCAGTCCGATCGTCGGCATTTAATACACGATATGAGATTTGTCTGGGTGACACTCATAGACATGTTCAAGCCCCCGAATTCGCTATTTCAAAATGGTGACATTAAATGAGTTGTCGTCATTATGCCCGAACATACATTTCCGAACCTCCATATTACAAATGCGGTGTTGCCACTGAATTTCAGTAATCATTTGGAATCAAAAATATCCAAACACAGAGTCGCCTCCACCCCTCCACCTAGATACACGAATTCTCCAGCTGCATCTATCATCTCACTCCTAAGAGTAAGCTCAGACATAGGCTCCTGTCTATCTTGTAGAAGTGCTTTGCACTTAAAGGTGAGTTCAGAGTACATGTCATTCCCAACTGATTAAGTGCGATTTGTATAGCTTGAGTATCAGTGTACAGTTTAGAAGTTAACTGGTCCACACTGTCACTATTTACTATCAGGAATGTTTCCAGAATGTCATCGATTGTTTATTGGAAGAGAAATGGTGAGATTGGGCAACCCTACATAAACTTACTGCTTGAATGGAACAGTTGAGGGGAAGTTGGAGTTCCTTGCGGGCTTCCAACTCTTCAGGTAGTTGTATCAGTCGCCTCCGGCTGTGTAGGTTAAGTAACACTGGTCGATGTTGTTGCAGCAATAGGCCAGTCGATCTGCTCCTCCAAAAGATCTTCCCTTCGTCTAAAATGTCTTGGATGCTACTAATTTTGCGTTCGATCAACCTCACAGATTGTTTCATTCATGTCACATTTCTTAATACCAGTGACTCAGATGAGTTAAAATAGCTTTCAACAGCTATTTTCAACTTAATCGTATACTCTAACTATCAAGTTTTTCGGCTGGTACGCGGATTTCGTAAAGTTTCTTTGCGCAGGTATCTACGTTCATCATCAAACTTATAATTTGTCAGATTAGGTAAACGTTGCTGCCCTGGTACGGCCGAGAGCGGGGTGGGTCCGCCCTCCCTCTCGAAATACTCTCACATGGCCACGCGTATATAGCCTCTGTCAGGAAAGTCCTACTCACTGCCTTCTCGTGGCGGCGGTGTTGTTTACGGGAATGAGAGGACGAAAAGCGAATGTCCGGCGCTTTAACCGGATCCCAAACCAATGGTGTACATGGGCTCTAGTATCCTATGAGAACAAATGGCGTATGGACCAATCGTTGGTCACCGGCTACCATGGGACTGCATCTCCTTACGATGCTCCACTGCCTTGTGGGTTAGACCTTTAGGTCAAAGGCTCGGGGTGTGGCCCCCTAAGGTAACCACCTGCTTCGGTCTGGGCACCCGGGCAGTATCGCAGCCCACTCACAATTATGATGAACTCTCTATATCTATGGAAACTGCTTTTCTCGCTTCGAATAACAATCAAATTATTATCATTATTATTATTATTATTATTATTATTATTATTATTATTATTATTATTATTATTATTATTATTATTTACTACGACATTATTCACCCTATTTTATTCCTACTCTGTCTATACTTATTTTTTTGACTTATACAGAAGCTCGTCTTTGGTGGAAATTCGACTCTATCTAAACGTTTTCGAGTCACTGTCCGGTTGAAAATTGTATGTTACCACCGAATATGAGTACTGAAGCAGTCTTTCTGAAACCACGTGCACCATTCAAACTGGCTGCCTTCAACGTTCTCACACTTATGCAGGACGGACAACAGATAGGGCTGGCTATGTCTTTAGAAAGTCTTAATATCGATGTTTGCTGTCTATCTGAGACCCGTATTCAAGACTCTGGTGAAGTACTACAAATGCGCTCTCCATCTGTCGCTTCGAAAGACTTGTTTTACGTGCGCTTATCCGGGGGCCCCGTGGCATCTTCGTCTGGTCTTGCTGGCGTTGGTGTCGCACTATGCGCTAGAGCTGAGGCAGCACTAATTGATTTAGTCCCCATTAACAGTCGGTTATGTGCTGTTAGATTAGAAAGTTCCATCAAAATGAGAAGAAACCGGCGTGAGAAACGATGTCTTTTCGTCGTCTCCGCCTATGCTCCGACAGATTGCAGCCCGGATGCAATCAAGGATGAGTTTTACCACCAGTTATCTGTTCTTCTCCAGAAAGTGCGTTCGACAGATATTGTAGTACTAGCCGGAGACTTGAATGCTCAGGTCGGGCGTCTAGGCACAGAAGAGAGTCGTTTAGGTGGCCGATGGGGACTTGTTGGTCGCAGGTCAGATAACGGGGACCGTCTACTGCAACTTTGCACAGACCACAACCTGTTTCTGGCTAGCACTAACTTCTGGCACAGTCATCGCCGATGTGCCACCTGGCGTCCTCCCTCTGCATCCCAAGCCTGGACTCAGATTGATCACATCGCGATCAGCTACCGCTGGCGTGGTTGTGTAAAAGACTGCCGCTCCTTTTGAAGTACATATCTGGACTCTGACCATGCCTTGGTCTGCGCCAATCTTGCCTTACTTTTCAGTGGCCAACGGAGTGACCACCATCAAAAGATTGATGTTAGCAAGCTGGTTGCAACTTCTGTTGCAAATAAGTATCGAACCGAGCTAGCCTTTAGGTTAGCTACCACTCCACCGAAAAGTATAGATGAGCATTGGTTGCAATTGCATGACGCCATAAAAATGGTGGGTACAGTCAGTTGTGGGTTTGCGAAACGTCCCGCTTATAAGCACTGGGTTTCTGCAGGTTCCTTACAACTCATTGAAGCCAGTCGGTCTACTCCGGGTAACCGTGAATTTGACCATAAGCGAAGGTTGTTACGTAAGGAAATTGGGCAAAGCTTGCGTAAGGACCGAGAAGCCTGGTGGTCGGAGCGTGCTAATGAGCTGGAAGCTGCAGCTGCATCTGGTAACTACTGGAAGCTCTTCCAAGTCATCCGAGCCACTGGCAGCAAGAAGTCTGGTGTGAGTGAAACAATCTGTGAGGATGATGGGATGCCAATCACTAACATCCATCGACGTCTTGGACGGTGGGCAGAATTTTTCGAAGGGCAGTTCAACTGGCCTGCTGCTCTGGCAACATCGGTCAGACTGTCCTGCCCTCCATGGCCGGTGACGACTGATCCACCAAACGAGGAGGAAGTCCGCAAGTAACTCCAACTCTTGAAGCGTTGCAAATCACCTGGCCCAGATGACTTACCTCTGACTCTTTTAAAAGATGGTGGTGACTTTCTGACTAAGGAACTGACGACGTTGTTTACAAAGGTGTGGGAGCTAGAGAGTGTACCAACGTCATGGAATGAGTCGATAGTTGTCCCTATCTTTAAAAAGGGTTCACGTCGTTCCTGTAACAACTATCGGGGGATAAGTCTACTTCCGATTGCGTCCAAGCTATTGGCTTCCGTCATACTTCGTAGGTTGTTCAAAACCCGAGAATGATTGACTGGTGAGGAGCAGGCTGGGTTTCGTTCTGGTCGAGGATGTATTGATCATATCTTCACCCTCCGCCAAATGTTAGAACACCACCATACTTATCACAGGCCAACGATCGTAGTGTACCTTGACATCAGGACTGCCTTCGATTCGTTGGATAGGACTGTTCCCTGGGATTGTCTATTGACGAAGAGGGTGTCTGAGAAGTTTATTAACATCCTGAAAGCCTTATATACAAACACCTCAGGCAGAGTGATGGCATACAACCACCTCTCTCCATTGTTCCATTCGAGTAGTGGGGTTAGTCAGGGTTGCCCAATCGCACCATTCCTCTCCAACTTTGCCGTCGATGACATTCTGGAAACAGCTCTGATGAATGTAAGTAATAGCGATGTGGATCTGTTGCCTGGAGAAAGACTTCTCGACCTTGAGCATACGAATGATATCGTCTCACTGTGCGATAATGCCCAAGGCATGCAATCCGCACTTAATCAGTTGGCAATCAGTGTCCGTAGGTACGGTATGTGCTTTGCACCTTCTAAGTGCAAAGTACTTCTACAAGCCGAAGAAATTCCATCCAATCAAACCACTTAGTGAGTCGAGAACATTTAAACAGGAAAAGACTTCGATCATACACGAGCTTCTGTAAGTTCTAAAAAATACACAAAATGGGAATCAAGAGGAACCAATAGCTGATACAATATAAAACGTAAATGAATGTGGCAAAATAAGAAAGTCTGTGTGTGGCCTGAGGTACACCCCGGATATTCTCATCTAAGTAAGCGGTTTTTTTAGGGAGCCATTCTTCAAGCTTCCAATTGAAGGCCAAAAACCTAAAAGACAGTAGAGCACTATCGAGAGATTCGGTCCCATTATACGCCACTCATTCCTTTGACACTCAGGAGCCTTTTTTCATCATTTATTTAGGACCAGGGTTTTCCCAATCATCTAGGTAGATCCTCCATATCCACCAATCCAGTCAAAGTATTTGGCGTTCAGAAAGACCAATTTAAAATCGGACAAAATGCGCCTCAGATACTAACTATTATTGCTGTGATATAATTTAGGAAAAGTCTGTAAATTCAAATTGTAGATAAAAATATATTGGAACCAAGTAGCCGAACTTGACTACCAGGTAATATTTCTTGCCGTCTTACTTAGAGTGTAACTCAAATTCTAGCACTAATATGTACCCAGTAAATGAGAATAAGTTCTGCGTTTGTTTAAACCTTTTTTTAAAAAAGTCAGGGGCATTTTACTTTTTTAATTTGCTTAAATTTAGTATTCTGAAGTAGTTAATTTTTTGTCGGCCAGATGTATGCTTGTATGTAATAATTTCTTAGTTCCATTTACTAGAAACTATGCGACCAATGAAAAATGTGGTTATTCTACATTCATATATTACCTCAACAGAAATCTCAGATCTGTCCAAAATGTATTGTAGCTATAAATAGATCAACACTGGTAAAGACCGTAGACATGTATGACTGTACTGTCCGAACAAAATGCTTAATTGTTTATAAAGCATTCGATATACAAATACCACATTTCATCTTTGGTTAAAACACATTCTGTAACTAGATTAGATGATTTTTTGTTTTCATTCTTCAGGCTTCTTTTGGAGTTCTGTTTACCCTGCGTTTAAAAAGGCTATTTCTAGACAGAATACCAAATGTGCTCCTATTCCCGTGAATCTATTATCGATCCTATCCAAAATTGCACTATATTTTATTCGTTTATCCAATATCTGTTTTTCATACTGGAGCGAACAGTAAGAAACTATTTCTTACCTATTTTCGTCTGTATTTATGATTTTAACTTTCTACAGAAAAATTTGATGTTTTAATTTATTCTTTGTTAGCATTATTAGATTAGTGCTTCTAAAGTTAACTCTTAGTTCGACTTTCCTGATGAATTGCTGCCTAAAAACCATACCACTTATGTTTAGTGTTTTGGTTATTTTTCATTTCCCTCTGTTTCGCACTCTTGAAAAAATTTGAGTTATTAGTCATTACTATGCTCTACTTATCTGACAATAACTCAGTCTTTTTTAACTACATAACTACTGTTTGTATCCTGGATACGTCCCAGGTAATAAGATTGTTTGCCTTGTCTACACTAATTGTGGTTTATTCGTTCTGCGTAAATAATATGTAAAACTAATTATTACTCTATCCGCACAAATGTAGTGTCATTGATTAGTGGATTTACTCTAATTTTCTGACATTTATAACTAACCAGGTCGAGATTGGTCATCGGCCGTACAATATTTTACAAAAAGATACTTTTATGATATAGAAGAAAATAACATCCTAATTTTATTGGCTTAACATTACACGTCTGGTAGAGTAGAAGTTAAAAAATACTCGAAATTCTGTTCACTTCCATTGACTAGGTCACGTCACTAGTTTCACTCCCCATAATGTTTTCCTGTGCGATACATCAGTCAGAAATCGAAAAAATACTTACTAAATGTTATCTTAAATTCAATTGTACTCTACAAGGGGAAACATAAGTTATGCTTCCATTCCTGTGACGACGGACCACGGGTGAACTCGAGGAAGCTGTAGGAGGCTCAGAAGGAGCCGAAGATATTCTATCCAATCACCTTTTGGGAGGATATTTTAGAATTCCTGTGTGTAGCTTCCTGATTGGACAATGCTAATAACCCCGTGTATGCGGATTGGAGGACTGTAATGATGATTTCGTTCTTACTGAAAACTATAAATACCTGGGAATTTTGTACTATAATTGACCACTGTCTGAGAATAATATTCCTTTCATTAGTCTTCTGTCTTCTCAATGCTACTTGGAAGGTTCTGACGTTCTAGTGCTCACGTTATACGCGGTATATCAAGAACAACCTTCTAGATATAACACTTCTTTTCTCCAAATATGTTTTTATGCAATACATTATATTCCTACTGTTAATAGAATAAGGTATCTGTGAAATGATAAACATCTAGTGATTTAACTTAATCCATAGAAAAATGGACAGATATTACATAAGAAATAAGCTAGTGTATATGATATTTTTTGTTCACCAAGAACTGCTTATTAATTGGTTTTTCAATAAATTTCCTTTCTTCTAGTAAATCGACCATCTATCTTCTTGATCCCGCTGACCTATTTGATTTGTTCACAATGAATCCGTCTATAGATTTTTCGTAAGCTTTTTAACCCATATGCTTATTGTATTTTACTTATGTACCAAAATAACTAATAGTAAGCTGAAAGAAACTCAATACTTTTTACGCATGTAATAGTTTTTAACACTTTATGACTGACAATTATGGAATTATTTGACGTATTTTATTTGAACACATACATATTGGTACAAGAGTGCGCCAAATATATATGCGCCACACAAAACAATGAGAATTTAAAAAGAAGGAAAGAGAAAAAATTTAAGGAAGGTTAAAAAACAATAAGGAATAGATTGGTGTAAGGTAGTGTAATAATAATAATAATAGTAATAGTAATAATGGGGGAACGGAAAGGTACAATCAGAAAAAATCCTTCAGTTAAGGAAGATACAACCATTTTTTATAAAGAAAGTAAAAGAAGGTTACAGCAGGATCGCCACTGGCTTCTATTCTGAGCCATATCTGACAACGTCTCTAGTCACTGTGTAGCACCATCTCTCGGACCCCAACCAGGGAGTCGAGAAGGACCAACAGAAGCCAGCCCTTTGCAGCTTTCTTTCATGCCACGACACCATGTCATATATATTCTTTAACGTATTCCTAGTTGTGTGAATAGTTTAATTCCCCAGTGTCCTGACAGTCCGTTGTTGTTGTGTTTTTTTCCGAATGCCCATCTGTAAATATTTTTTCGCTTTAGATGTTTTTTTTCTTCCTCACTTTTTTAATAATACAGGTTTCATTTTAGTATTATGAAAGCATTTTATGGCACATCTAGTACAATTAAAGAATTGGTTATCATTCTTAGCTCAAGTAAAAAGGAAACTTCTACAGTTGCTTGGTTATTCTTCGTCGCTTTACTAACGTATTGTTTGTTTGTTAGAAATGTAAATTCGTTTTCGACAGAAAGTCATGATGATTTCGTCTTTCCGTCTTTTATAAGCGAAATTCGTGCTTATCTGCCAAAGCAAATAACCATTTCAACAATCTCCAATTTAGATCCTGAGACCATTTTCATTAATATAGCTGCTTATTTCGATGAACTCTCTGTAAGTCATTTACCTTTATCCTGATTTCTAACTTTTTAATCTAGTAGTTTACACGTTTAGGAAAGACATGACTTAAAATCCTAAGAATCCTAAGTCACTGAAATCACCACTAATTCAACCACACTTTGGCTGTTCTGTCATAATTGAAATTTAACTGAAGGTCTGAATCATTGGGTTATTCAGATGTATCCCATAAATCATATGGTCGAAATACCGAATTCAATGCATGCTAGCACACTATTACTTAGTTCAGACTTTCAGTGACAGCTGTAGTTCATAGAGAGAAAGATAACAAGACTTCATTTTTAACTCTTCAATAATATGCACTAACCTCCCTCCCCCATCATTAGCTGTCGCGAAGAGTTACGAAAATCAACATTAAAATTCTTTCGTGAATAGAGTAATACATTTTTGTCAGTCCTGAAATGCCCTGCTACGAGCGAGTGGGAGAGTCAGCTCTCCCACTCCAAATGCTCTCAAGTGTCCATGTGCATACAATCATGCCAGGGAAGTTCTACTCACTACCTTCTCGTATTGGGAGTATTGTTTACGAAATTGAGAGGACGGAAATCGAATGTATGGCGCTTTAACGGGGTCGGTGAATACGGAGGATCCACCTAGGGGAGTTGGAAAACCCTGATTCCAAACCAATGGTGTACATGCGCTCCAGGATCCTTAGGAAACGAATGGAGTATGAACCAATTGTTGGTCACCGACTTCCATGGGACTGCATCTCCTCACGTTGCGCCACTGCCTTGTGGATTAGACCTTTAGGTCAAAGGTCTGGGAAAGCCATCTGTTTCGGTTTGGGCACTCGGGTAGTATCCCAGCCCTCACAAAAATCAAATGATTTATATGGCTCATATCCGTTTGGTACCTCCTTGTATCAATGTTTATGTGTTTAAATGAATAATAAATAAATAAATGTTTCAATGGTTAAAATCATGAGTCAATTGAAGCTAGACCACCATAGAAAACCTGGAAGCACTGGATAACCGTTTCGTTCTATTGTGGGACTCCTCAGCAGTGCGCATGTTTGTCAATCTGTTTTTTGAACGACCAAACTCCGTGTTCAGCATATGTTGCTAGAAACTACTTTCTTGAAGTCTTGTTGACACAACTCAACTCACTCAGTTGCTTCCGCTACAAAGACTAGTAATAAGCACTGTATAATCTTTGTTTCTCGGCAATTAACATCATTAGGTCTTAATCAACTTGTTTATATAAAAGTTTGTTAAAATCATATAATATTATTACAAATTTGAAATGAATGTCTTCATTAGTATCACGGAATTAGTGTTTTCCGCTGTAACAAAATTTGTTTATTTAGTCATCGAAAATAAGAATACTTTTGTTTTTCTACCCTCAGAGTACTTAAAGATTCATTTAAACATTCACCATCATTTTACTACAAACCCTTGAAAGATCCTAATCTTGTATAGCATTTTGCCAACTTGGTTCCTTATATACTCTTCTATGAGTAAGTGAAAGTGCACGTTTCTGTTCCATTCCTAAATTTAGATAACGATTTCCATGATCCAAAGATTGGAATTATTTGGCATTCACTCGTAAGTTAGTTTTAGCACGTCACCATCTATTGTAAAAATTTGATAAGGCATAGTGAAATTAGGTGTAGCAATACTAATAAAAATGTTTTAGTAATAATAAGTCTCTCTACCGATACGCTTAAGCTGTCTCCTTAACCAGTTCCAATATCTCCAACTACTTCTACCCATCAACTGGAACACTAGAGAGGTGTGTATCGCGAGCTTCACCCCAAGGTTGTCTCATGTACAGAAAAACGAGGATATTTGTAGAAATGCACACGACCTTGGGTCGGGTTTCTGGAACCATATTAAATATAGTTGTTGTAGTCAAGGTTATTATCCAATCAAAACTGTAACCCATAATTCTGCATTTCCTAGATGTTTCTGCGAAGATTCTGTTCAACGCGGACTGGATTAAACGTCTCCGGGCTTCTAGGGACTTTGACGAGGGATATTTGTGGGACTCCTCCAATATTACATGTACTTTTGATACAGTAGCGTTTTGTTTAATATTTCATGTGCCATCTGACATGTATTTGTCTTTTAACCTTTTCATTTGATTATCTGTAGACATTTCAAGCTCGGATGTTATTCAAATCTGTTTTTGTTGAATATATTGGTCGATTAAGTGAGTTTATTTGTACATGTTGCTCTGTGTCCAGTTCTGCACAGGAAAGTGGTTTTGGGTTGAGTCACACGACACAGAACAGTTTCTTAAAACCGGAGGATTTATGTGGAAGCGGTTATCGAGTGGCAGGAATGTTAATTCGTCACTGTTCAATGTTACTTTATTCTCCAGTCACTACCGAAGGCTCAGTATCAAGCTTTGAGAAATTGGTGAATCACTTTTTTCTTCCACGACAGTTATACGAAACACAGGATTCTAACAGATTTTCTACTCTCAACGAATCCAATATATTCCCATGTTATGTTATGGAGTCCATGCGAGAGCAGCTACCTGAAGTAATTATAAATAAACTACTTACATACTTCTAAATATCGATTTCAATAACTTCATTTTTATACCATCAAATATTCCTAGCCTTTTTTCTTGATGTTACTTCAGTTTTATTTTAACTGCATCAGTATGTAAGTATATAGTTTTACTGATTCAATGAATATTTCGTTTTATATCAAATTTCTAATCTTCAATTTACAGCTTACACGTGGTATTGCTCAATTAAATTGGAAAAGTGATCCTTATCTATGTCGCATAATAAAAGACATTGTCAAAATACATTATAAACACCTTGGTCCAGGAGCTATTGCCGTAAGATTTTATTAATGTCTTTTTCTTTGTTTCCCTTACAAATCCTTTTTTGTAATAGTTTTATATCATCTTTTTTTTTTAATTATTTAGTCAATGGTACTAAATAGCCCTACATTGGATTTTCGGACTCATATTTTGCAGTTTGCCACTTACGATCAAATTATCTATCTGACTGAGAGTAAAGCTTTGTCCGTTTCTGGTTGTGAACAAATCACATATCAGCGCAACATTCTGTCTAATGTAGGTCTCAAAGTTCTATTTTTCAAAGCTTTGGTTTCATAACTAACCAGTTTTCTCTACTTGACATTTTCATGTTATTATTCTTAACAACTCAAACGTTTTTGAAAATTCGATCCTTTTGTAAATGATCTCGTTTATTGAATTAAGTGCCTTCATATGCCTCTGCAAATTTGTCAGATTAGAATTGGATTTCCTTGGATTTTTTTTTCTTTGAAAACAGTAGTTAAAAGGCAATCAATGTACAATAGCATTGTTTACAGCGTGATTCGTGGTTAGATTCTGTGTATTACATTTCCGTTGACTAACTTATAATAAGACTATCGCTGTAAGAGACATTACTGTACATCTTTGATCTGAAATGAATTTCTGAATGAATGGAATGAAATGTCATCCCGAAGTCATGACATGGGGATGTCATGACTTAAATAGAGGACACTTGAAGTTCTCATTAGTATACACAAAAAAATGACATTAATTTTAAAAGGCTTTCAAACTCAAAATATCATACAAGAAACAACATTTTAGCTTGATGTCGTGTGTCAATAAGATAGGTTGTTTTTATATAATCACTAACTTCAATAATCAACTCGCGTTACCCCTTTGTTTGATAATGTTTTTGGCTAATGTTTTTCCAAAGATCAGATTAATCTGTATTTCCCCAACTTAAGTATAAATTTGACGGCTTAGTAATCTAAATATTTGTGATATTAAAATTATTTTCTTGTAACATTTGTAGCTGACTAAAAAGTCTTACCAACGATATCCCCCGTCTTTCCATTATCCGTATTCAAGATTAGGGTAAATGAATGTCAGTTCTCCCATATAACATCGCAAAATCTATGTTTTAAATTCGCTTATCCGAGAACCTTATGAGATCTTCGACTGGTCCATATGATGTTGTTGTCCTACTCTAGTCTTAAAGTAGCTTTAAGTCACTGGATCCTCATTAAGTCGTTTATATCTTCCCTTGTTAGGTGTAATCAAGACGGGAAAGAACTAGCCTAATAAACTCTGTTGTTATCGCCAAATACTTCCTGACTGATTGCAGCCAATATCTAGTAGAGAAGAAATAGATGCGTAAATTGAGGATGTTTCAAACTTGACGTTTTCTTCAACTCGCCTTTGCTATTTCACCTCTGTTTTATTAGTTATTCTATCAATAAGTTATCAACGATATTGTAAATCTCATGACTGCTGTCTTTTAGCGTGAACAAAGTTCAATCACAATTAATTATGCCATTGAGTGTATGGTTTTAAATCAGTTTCTTATTGCCATCGTGTTCTGTTGCTACCAATTTACTGATTAATATTCTATATTTTTAGTGGTCGAATATGTTCTATTACTATGTAGTTATTATTTCACATGCGTTTATCTGATTATTATTCGAAATCGGAGTTATTGCAAATAATTTCTTCTCCTTTAAATTAGTGGGTGGATTTCGCATATTCAATATACTCCAATACATATTCAAGTGGTATTTACCTGAGGTTAGTTGTCGAACTCTCTTCCAGACATCTCCATCCTTTAAATGCATTGCTTTTTTTATCATCAGTATATATATATATATATATATATATATATATATATATATATATATATATATATCATGTCGGTTGTATGAGACAGGACATTTAATACGTACTGATAAGACACGTTAGTATGCCGTTTTTTATTACGTAGACAAACAACTAGGCAACGCTGCGGACATACTTCTTGTACTCAAATCTACTGCCATATTTTTTTATGTTTGATGGTAGCTAGTAGTGTGACATCTCATAGTTCATAAGTCATTTTACCAAGTACCCAAAAATGAGCTGTCTAACAATCATGTAATGAGAACTAATTTACTATTCATAACTAGACACTACCGGTGTTACGAATAGAAAACGGAGTGACTCGCATATCATATCGAGTGTACTAATACCTAAAGATGGACTTGTAGTTTAGAAGTTTTTCAGGACTTACTTTAGTAATAAATAATGGGTCGTAATTGATGGCGAAAACAATCGGGTAATGTCGCTAGTTCGAACATGATAGAAGCCAACTAGCCAGAGTATCGAACTCCATACGGTCAGTGAGTTGAATTGTAATCATAATTATCAGATCCCGAAAATAAATGTAAATGGTAACTTAGCTTTATGAGAAGAAATTAAGGTGTCTGGCAAAAGTATTTACTGAAAATCAATTTACCCAAACTGTTGCATCTGTTACTCTGTAAGTTGAGTAAGTATACTGTTAAATGTATTTTTTTCTAAGGTTATCTAGTGGTGGATAGTATGCATCCAGACACTAGTGCACCTAAGTAATTTTCACTACTAATTGTTGTGATTTTCTTATACGTTACCTACCTAATCGACAACCAGCTAACATTATCCAACAAGAATCTCGATTATAAATCTTTCTCGTCTACAGACTAACGTCCTATAGTTTGGATAATTGAAACACCTCGACGGACAAGGAATAGCCTACTGGTCCACAACACGCACCTGTTCTGTCCTTGTATTTAGTCCGAAGTAAAAGGATATAATGAGAAGCAAGCTTCTATCATCATATTTCATTCACTCAGGTGAACCGCAGTCCGTTGTCCAAAACCAATATGGGGAATATGAAAGTATTGTTATTAGGTTATTTAATATACAAAATAAAAATATGTAATAATATTCCCTAAAATAGATCCAAAAGTCAACATTTTCTCGGTATTTGATTCTTTATAGTAGTACTGAAAGCTTCTTTTGAGTTTTGGTCGCTTACTTAATAATTTGTCTCTGTATTATTATATGTTCTAGTTGAGATCAGTACAAACATCAATATCCAGACATCTAAAGGTTTTTTGCTTTATTTATTAAGAGAACATTTTCAGAAATGTGATCGTGTTCATACAATTTTGAAATTACATATATTCCCTGCGTATCATTCCTTTTTTTACAGTGATGCTCCATTTTTAGTTTGCCCTATTCTACTGTCAAACACCTTAAAAGATTTAACTAGCGCATTGAATTCTGATAGTCGCAAACACAGTATACATATTCTTAAAACGTATAAAGAAGCGGTCACATCGGTAGCTTGTAAAGAAACAAGGTAATCTTCACAAAGCATTTATTTAACCGTTTTCGTTAATCTTTAATTGTCTTTTAATTTATTCATATATTTCTGTTATATCATGATTTTTTGTTTGTTTAGAAACCAATGTTTGCTTCCCTAATATGTAGTAATTGTATTCGTCAATCAACTGATTACAGTAGACCATGACGTTTGACTTAATAATCTTCAGTGTGTAAACAACGCAATATTAGACTATAAGTTTATCTTCTGCTAACTAAACATAATTATCGTGATGATCTGAAACAATTTTTGGCTGTTAAACATCAATGTGATTAATTCAGCACCTTTAACCACACCATAATAGTTTCTATTCTTAATTGACTTCAGTTTTATAGTTCTTAAAAAAGAACCACAATGTGTGCTGAATACCGTGAATTTCCACGCCCGAGATTTCAAGATATTTTTGGTATAAAGGAATTTTCCTTAGTCAACTTTCATTTCACAATTTAATATAGCCTTGCGGGATCTGAACGATCATAGATAAACTGATACTCATTATTTTGCAACTGCAATAGAAACTATATTCACGAAAACCTAAAATAAACTTAATGTGGCGCGCAGAAAACGCATGTTCGGCCAAATGTTGAATAAAAGTGTCGTATTTTGTTCAAAGTACCGAAATTAGAGACTAACTCAAATTTTATCGAAGGAATGTGGAGCAAGTAACTATGATAAAGTTGTCCATTGTCGGTGGGGCTGACAAAATTTCTTTGTTTTTGCATCACATAACAGCAGTTTTCATCTGTTGTGACTGCTTTTTTGATAAACCACCTGAAAACATTTTTGTGATACGGACTAAAAATATTTTATACGATTTTCTTACCAGAAGACTAAAATCTAGTTCTTTCTAACCTCTAGATCTCGTATCCTTGAGCTCTGCTGTAACCTGGATAAGAAAACCATGGACCCTTCATGCACTCTTGTCGCATATTTTGGTCTAAAATAGTATTTCTTTCAGCCTGTTCACATTAGTGAGACACGAATTATGTGTAACGCACCCTAAAAATGATATTTACATTCAATAAAGTTTTTTATCACTTCGTCTTAATGATTGTATGGGAATTGTAAATCGGATATATATGGCGCCTTTTCGAAACTTATCTCTTTGTTACAATTGTCTCATCCCACAGATTTCGTTCTCCGGCGGTAAGGTCTCAACAAGTTGTCCCTTCGGCACTACGGTCACGCTCTCAGATCACTAAAACCAACTCTAGCCCAATTTCCTTCTCAAGTACCTCTAGAAGAACCCTTCTACGGTGTGGGCAACCGGGAAGTGATAACCGCCCTCATTCCTTTAACAGCACTCAAGACCACTGTATTCACAATCAACCTCACTCTTCAATTCCTATCATCCCTCCTACATCGACTTTCAAGCCTAAGCTTCCTCCTCAAGTGTCACCATAGCTGACGATTCTAATGCGCAAAACACTGTCTCAGGTCTACTGAAACCTCGCTCAAAACTACACATTGGAGCCTTCAGAGTACTCACCCTATGTCAAATCGATCAGTAGGCCTCCTTGGCTAAAACCCCAGAACCTCGTACCATTGATGTATGCTTTGTCTCTGAAACACACATACAGGATCCTAGTGTGATCATTCACTTTACCTCACCTAGCCAGAACGGGGAGCCAACGAGATACGCGCATCGTTTATCTGGCGACCCGATGGCAGATTCTCGTGGACTAGCAGGTGTAGGCATAGCACTAAGCATGAGGGCGGAACAAGCACTGTTAGAGTGGATCCCCGTTAACAGTCGTTCATGTGTTGTTCGGCTAAACGGCCCCGTAAGAACTCGGAAGGATAGGGACACACGTCATTGTCTTTTTGTCGTTTCTGCCTACACTCCCACTGACTGTAGCTCGGATGAACTGAAAGATGAATTTTATAGAAAGCTCTCTGAACTTCTTCAGAAAGCTAAACGTTCAGACATAGTACTCGTAGTAGGTGACTTGAATGCCCAGATCGGTAGTTTAAACCAAACAGAAAGGCATTAAGGTGCGTGTTTTAGTACTCCGGCTTAGCGAACAGATAGTGGTGATCGTCTTCCTCAACTGTCCTCAGAAAATCGTTTATCTATAGTAATCACTAATTTAAGCAGAGACATCGGAGAGAGCACTATTTTAAGCATAAGAAGATACATCGTCTAACATGGCGACCCCATACACCATATTGCCATCATTCATCGTTGGAGAGGGTCGGTAGAAGATTGTCGCTCATTCTGGAGTACCTGCTTGGACTCCGACCATGCCCTAATACGAGCACGCATCTGCTTGCGCCTCACTGGACACAAGAAAGTCACATTAAAAAGACCTACTAGAACTGAAATGAGTAACGAGAAAACCAAAAGTAGGTTCCAGGAACAAACAAGGTCACACTTAGATAGTTCTGAAAATGAGGCTGACCCAGATGTAGCTTGGAGAGATATACAAGCAGCTGTGGAAACAGTAGTGACATCTACCAGTAATTTAAACCACAAGGTTACAAAGAACCAATGGATTTTTTCAAGGTCTATTAAACTGATGGGTTCTCGTAAGCTCATACCATCAGGTTCTGAACACGATGAAGAGCGTAAACAAATCAGATCTAGGTTAGCCAAAAGTCTAAGGAACGACCGTGAGCAGTAGTGTGCAACGAAAGCGAAAGAGATGGAAAAGGCGGCGGCTATAGGTAACACAACACAGCTCTACAGACCAATAAAAGAAACTGGAATTAATAAGTCAAATGTAAGTCAGAGTATTTCGAAAAAAGACGACACTCTTATCTGTTCTCAGACCAGACGTTTAGAACGATGGGAGGAACATTTTAGAGAACAGTTCAGCTACTCTACCATTCCCAGACAGTGTGGATAAAACATTGAAGTAGGTCCCCCAACTCTGGCTGAAGTTCAAGAGGCTATAGCTATTCTGAAACGAGGAGGGGCAGATGGATTGCCTCCAGAGGTCTTTAAGGATGGTGGTCCGATTCTAGCAATTAGGTTGACTAATATTTTAGCTAAAATATGAGAGTTGGACGTAATCCCACCTGACTGGTCACAATCACTGATTGTCCCAATATATAAGAATGGGTCAAAATCATCCTGTGATAACCATAGAGGGATTAGTTTGACTAATATAGCACCTAAAATACTAGCATCAATAATCATCGGACGCTTAACTAAGATTCGTGAACTGCACACACGAGAGAATCAAGCTGGCTTCAGACCTGATCGTGGCTGCATCGACCACATATTCACCATTCGTCAAGTTCTAGAACACAGGCATACTTATTGGCGTCCGACAATGGTGGTCTTTCTTGACTTGAAAGCAGCATTTGACTCTAGAGACCGAGAGGTTCTGTGGCAGTATCTGTCATTGAAATGTGTACCTCAGAAGTGCGATTTCGCAACTTCTCCATTCCTGTTCAATTTCATCGTAGGCCTACCGCTGGGAATAACGTCCTCGTCATCTGAATTTTCAGGAATTGGTCTTCTTCCAGGAGGTCCACTTATCGACTTAGAATATGCAGATGACATAGTCCTGTTTGGTGAAGACGCTGACAAAATGCAGTCTTCTGGTAGCACTGAGCAACAATGCCGGAATTTTTGGGATGCGTTCCCCTCTCTAAATGCAAGTTGTTGCTTTAGAACTGGCCTGTGTCAACACCTGAACTAAGGATAGGGGAGGAAGTAGTCGGAGGTGTCAACAACTTTACTTATCTTGGAAGTCTGGTCAGCCGTAGTAGGTTGGTGTCTGAAGAAATCTCAGCACGGATTTGAAAAGCTCGTCTGGCTTTTGCCAACTTACATCACCTATGGTGAAGGCGAGATAGCCATCTATCAATTAATGAACGAGTATACTGAGCGGCAGTTCGTTCTGTTCTACTTTACGGCTGCAAAACGTGGCCATTAAGAGTAGAAGATACTCGTAAGCTTCTAGTATTTGACCACAGATGCCTTAGAAATATTGCCCGCATCTTTTGTGGCCGTCAGATAAGTAATAGTGAGGTTAGATGCAGGGTATTAGGGAATTATGGTAAATCAGTCGTTGTGATTGTAAATCCTCATCGACTGAGATGTTAAGGCAACGTGTTACGCATACCCCACCACTGTGTGCAACGCTGCCTAGTGTAGGAGACGGATGGAAGAAATTGACACTTGAGGAGGAAACTAAAAGAGGATCAACGGGTAGGTTATAGTATTAGTAATTATAGCCTAAATTATCTACTATATGAAAATTGTAGCACTGCTTGTATCCGGGATGATTAGTAGGTTCAGAGAGTTCACCTAACATTTAGAAAATTATTATTCCGACTGTTGCTTTCCGAAACCTGTCTTCGAATTCAGTTCATACAACTATCCTGAAACCAAATGTGATTCGTAACTCCATGATGGCCTAACAGCAGAATAATATTAAACTATATAAACTATTAATTGATGTTTGCTGTAGAAGACAGTCATATTCAAGAGCATGTTGTAATACTACTCATCCAATAATCACGGAAATACGTTACACAAGAGAGGCGAAACTGATCAACTATATCCTAAACAAAATTTATTTACGTTTTGCTAGGCTAAGTTCACTTAGTTTAATAAACTAAAAAAAAACGATGTCTTGTAGCATCCACTTAAACTAAAACATCCCGGTTTGTATGGAAAATTACCACAAACTAAAGACCTTTTCCCGGCAGATATTGTGGTGCTCATTAGAAAATTGGATACATCGGTCACATAACAGAAGATGTAGTTTGTGCAGACCAAAGCCTAGTTGTATCCAGAAACAACAATTGGAACAGTTGCTGAATATACAGTACCTGGCGTCCCCTCATGTAACTTTAACCTATACCCCAATGCATCACATTGTTTCCATTTTATATAATTGTCTCTTAATTCAGAAATTTTTTCGAAAGGACTTAATTGTAATATTATTCGATTTTTAACTATCTAGCTGTTATTATCAAGTACAGCTATACTCCATCCTCTAAAATTCCATTTGATGTGCTGAACCATCTACATAACTTCATCCTATATGGGACTGTGACCTTGTAACTAATTTGCATAAATGTTAGGGATATTACCAACTTTACTGCATCTTTCAGTTTTCATTAAAAAGTCCTCTTACTCCAGTGGACGTTTTTATTTTTGTCTTGTAAATTGCAAAGTAGCAAGTTATGGATTGTTAGTGCTGATTTCAAGAAGGTAGAGTATAATAAGTGACTTTGGTGACTGTGTGTATCGAACATACTTGGAGACGTTATCTGCACGTAGTTCAGAGTTATATGAGCTGAATAAAGTGCAAATCAATAACAGTGCAGCATGTTATGCTGTCACTTCGTGCACATATGTGCCTGGTCCTACGTTGTAGCTGACTGACTGACTTCGTGACGGAAGTTATGTTCAGTGGTTAATTTCGGTCTGTAGAAGATCTGGTTATCATATTCCAGTTGGAGACCACTCCTTGTTTTCATACAATGCTTTCATAAACATTATGAAATACTTATCTTACCAAGTTTCGGAGTTTGCAATAACATATTGATGTACTTAGAAAGTGAACCAAAACATATAATCGGACTGAACTGTACTAATACGACAGTACGTAGGAGATCATCTGTCTTGGATTTTAGTGATAGACAGACACCTTGTTCCAAACCAATTGGTTGGAACGATCATCCAAACCAATTATCGACTCTTGCTACGTTACAACTTAATGTTAATTCACTAGAAAGCCCAGGTGAGTATTAATGACACTTAAAAGATGCCATGAAAATTGGTAGCAGCTTTGCTTTACGAACCACTTATTAAAAAAGTGAACTTTTTACCGTCCCTAAAACATTTTAATTTCCGTAGTTCTTATAACGCCACTTATACGCAAAGCAAATAAGGTAGGTCATTTAGGAGCAAGATCTCGCAGAACTTAAGTGAGAGTTGTAGACTAGCAACTGCGTGTGTCAACTAAGTCTGTTCCAACTCTCGTAAGCTACCAGTAGCAACAAGCCTGGTGTTAATAAAACAATTTGATTCTTTGGGAGGGACGCTTTACGGTCATCTTCAGAGGCATCTGTAAGGCTGGGCGAAATGTTTTGAGGAAATTTAACTTGGTTCATAGCCTCGGGAAATGAAACTAGTCAGAACACGCTTTCTGCTTCTTTAACAAGCATTCATTTACACAAAAATATAATTTATTTA